CAGTTGATGGTTTTAAAGTGTGCTACAGTTGATGGTTTTAGAGTGTGCTACACTACAGTTGATGGTTTTAAAGTGTGCTACAGTTGATGGTTTTAAAGTGTGCTACAGTTGATGGTTTTAAAGTGTGCTACAGTTGATGGTTTTAAAGCGTGCTACACTACAGTTGATGGTTTTAAAGTGTGCTACAGTTGATGGTTTTAAAGTGTGCTACAGTTGATGGTTTTAAAGTGTGCTACATTTGATGGTTTTAAAGTGTGCTACACTACAGTTGATGGTTTTAAAGTGTGCTACACTACAGTTGATGGTTTCAAAGTGTGCTACAGTTGATGGTTTTAAAGTGTGCTACAGTTGATGGTTTTAAAGTGTGCTACAGTTGATGGTTTTTAAGTGTGCTACAGTTGATAGACTACAGTTGATGGTTTTAAAGTGTGCTACAGTTGATGGTTTTAAAGTGTGCTACAGTTGATGGTTTTAAAGTGTGCTACAGTTGATGGTTTTAAAGTGTGCTACAGTTGATGGTTTTAAAGTGTGCTACAGTTGATGGTTTTAAAGTGTGCTACAGTTGATGGTTTTAAAGTGTGCTACACTACAGTTGATGGTTTTAAAGTGTGCTACAGTTGATGGTTTTAAAGTGTGCTACACTACAGTTGATGGTTTTAAAGTGTGCTACAGTTGATGGTTTTAAAGTGTGCTACAGTTGATGGTTTTAAAGTGTGCTACAGTTGATGGTTTTAAAGTGTGCTACACTACAGTTGATGGTTTTAAAGTGTGCTACAGTTGATGGTTTTAAAGTGTGCTACAGTTGATGGTTTTAAAGTGTGCTACAGTTGATGGTTTTAAAGTGTGCTACACTACAGTTGATGGTTTTAAAGTGTGCTACACTACAGTTGATGGTTTCAAAGTGTGCTACAGTTGATGGTTTTAAAGTGTGCTACAGTTGATGGTTTTAAAGTGTGCTACAGTTGATGGTTTTAAAGTGTGCTACAGTTGATACACTACAGTTGATGGTTTCAAAGTGTGCTACAGTTGATGGTTTTAAAGAGTGCTACAGTTGATGGTTTTAAAGTGTGCTACAGTTGATGGTTTTAAAGTGTGCTACAGTTGATACACTACAGTTGATGGTTTCAAAGTGTGCTACAGTTGATGGTTTTAAAGTGTGCTACAGTTGATGGTTTTAAAGTGTGCTACAGTTGATGGTTTTAAAGTGTGCTACACTACAGTTGATGGTTTTAAAGTGTGCTACAGTTGATGGTTTTAAAGTGTGCTACAGTTGATGGTTTTAAAGTGTGCTACAGTTGATGGTTTTAAAGTGTGCTACACTACAGTTGATGGTTTTAAAGTGTGCTACACTACAGTTGATGGTTTTAAAGTGTGCTACAGTTGATGGTTTTAAAGTGTGCTACAGTTGATGGTTTTAAAGTGTGCTACAGTTGATGGTTTTAAAGTGTGCTACACTACAGTTGATGGTTTTAAAGTGTGCTACACTACAGTTGATGGTTTCAAAGTGTGCTACAGTTGATGGTTTTAAAGAGTGCTACAGTTGATGGTTTTAAAGTGTGCTACAGTTGATGGTTTTAAAATGTGCTACAGTTGATACACTACAGTTGATGGTTTTAAAGTGTGCTACAGTTGATGGTTTTAAAGTGTGCTACAGTTGATGGTTTTAAAGTGTGCTACAGTTGATGATTTTAAAGTGTGCTACACTACAGTTGATGGTTTTAAAGTGTGCTACAGTTGATGGTTTTAAAGTGTGCTACAGTTGATGGTTTTAAAGTGTGCTACAGTTGATGGTTTTAAAGTGTGCTACACTACAGTTGATGGTTTTAAAGTGTGCTACAGTTGATGGTTTTAAAGTGTGCTACAGTTGATGGTTTTAATGTGTGCTATAGTTGATGGTTTTAAAGTGTGCTACAGTTGATGGTTTTAAAGTGTGCTACAGTTGATGGTTTTAAAGTGTGCTACAGTTGATGGTTTTAATGTGTGCTACAGTTGATGGTTTTAAAGTGTGCTACAGTTGATGGTTTTAAAGTGTGCTACAGTTGATGGTTTTAAAGTGTGCTACAGTTGATGGTTTTAAAATGTGCTACACTACAGCTGATGGTTTTAAAGTGTGCTACAGTTGATGGTTTTAAAGTGTGCTACAGTTGATGGTTTTAATGTGTGCTACAGTTGATGGTTTTAAAGTGTGCTACAGTTGATGATTTTAAAGTGTGCTACACTATAGCTGATGGTTTTAAAGTGTGCTACAGTTGATGGTTTTAAAGTGTGCTACAGTTGATGGTTTTAGAGTGTGCTACACTACAGTTGATGGTTTTAAAGTGTGCTACAGTTGATGGTTTTAAAGTGTGCTACAGTTGATGGTTTTAATGTGTGCTACAGTTGATGGTTTTAAAGTGTGCTACAGTTGATGGTTTTAATGTGTGCTACAGTTGATGGTTTTAAAGTGTGCTACAGTTGATGATTTTAAAGTGTGCTACACTATAGCTGATGGTTTTAAAGTGTGCTACAGTTGATGGTTTTAAAGTGTGCTACAGTTGATGGTTTTAGAGTGTGCTACACTACAGTTGATGGTTTTAAAGTGTGCTACAGTTGATGGTTTTAAAGTGTGCTACAGTTGATGGTTTTAAAGTGTGCTACAGTTGATGGTTTTAAAGCGTGCTACACTACAGTTGATGGTTTTAAAGTGTGCTACAGTTGATGGTTTTAAAGTGTGCTACAGTTGATGGTTTTAAAGTGTGCTACATTTGATGGTTTTAAAGTGTGCTACACTACAGTTGATGGTTTTAAAGTGTGCTACACTACAGTTGATGGTTTCAAAGTGTGCTACAGTTGATGGTTTTAAAGTGTGCTACAGTTGATGGTTTTAAAGTGTGCTACAGTTGATGGTTTTTAAGTGTGCTACAGTTGATAGACTACAGTTGATGGTTTTAAAGTGTGCTACAGTTGATGGTTTTAAAGTGTGCTACAGTTGATGGTTTAAAGTGTGCTACAGTTGATGGTTTTAAAGTGTGCTACAGTTGATGGTTTTAAAGTGTGCTACAGTTGATGGTTTTAAAGTGTGCTACAGTTGATGGTTTTAAAGTGTGCTACACTACAGTTGATGGTTTTAAAGTGTGCTACAGTTGATGGTTTTAAAGTGTGCTACACTACAGTTGATGGTTTTAAAGTGTGCTACAGTTGATGGTTTTAAAGTGTGCTACAGTTGATGGTTTTAAAGTGTGCTACAGTTGATGGTTTTAAAGTGTGCTACACTACAGTTGATGGTTTTAAAGTGTGCTACAGTTGATGGTTTTAAAGTGTGCTACAGTTGATGGTTTTAAAGTGTGCTACAGTTGATGGTTTTAAAGTGTGCTACACTACAGTTGATGGTTTTAAAGTGTGCTACACTACAGTTGATGGTTTCAAAGTGTGCTACAGTTGATGGTTTTAAAGAGTGCTACAGTTGATGGTTTTAAAGTGTGCTACAGTTGATGGTTTTAAAGTGTGCTACAGTTGATACACTACAGTTGATGGTTTCAAAGTGTGCTACAGTTGATGGTTTTAAAGAGTGCTACAGTTGATGGTTTTAAAGTGTGCTACAGTTGATGGTTTTAAAGTGTGCTACAGTTGATACACTACAGTTGATGGTTTCAAAGTGTGCTACAGTTGATGGTTTTAAAGTGTGCTACAGTTGATGGTTTTAAAGTGTGCTACAGTTGATGGTTTTAAAGTGTGCTACACTACAGTTGATGGTTTTAAAGTGTGCTACAGTTGATGGTTTTAAAGTGTGCTACAGTTGATGGTTTTAAAGTGTGCTACAGTTGATGGTTTTAAAGTGTGCTACACTACAGTTGATGGTTTTAAAGTGTGCTACACTACAGTTGATGGTTTTAAAGTGTGCTACAGTTGATGGTTTTAAAGTGTGCTACAGTTGATGGTTTTAAAGTGTGCTACAGTTGATGGTTTTAAAGTGTGCTACACTACAGTTGATGGTTTTAAAGTGTGCTACACTACAGTTGATGGTTTCAAAGTGTGCTACAGTTGATGGTTTTAAAGAGTGCTACAGTTGATGGTGTTAAAGTGTGCTACAGTTGATGGTTTTAAAATGTGCTACAGTTGATACACTACAGTTGATGGTTTTAAAGTGTGCTACAGTTGATGGTTTTAAAGTGTGCTACAGTTGATGGTTTTAAAGTGTGCTACAGTTGATGATTTTAAAGTGTGCTACACTACAGTTGATGGTTTTAAAGTGTGCTACAGTTGATGGTTTTAAAGTGTGCTACAGTTGATGGTTTTAAAGTGTGCTACAGTTGATGGTTTTAAAGTGTGCTACACTACAGTTGATGGTTTTAAAGTGTGCTACAGTTGATGGTTTTAAAGTGTGCTACAGTTGATGGTTTTAATGTGTGCTATAGTTGATGGTTTTAAAGTGTGCTACAGTTGATGGTTTTAAAGTGTGCTACAGTTGATGGTTTTAATGTGTGCTACAGTTGATGGTTTTAATGTGTGCTACAGTTGATGGTTTTAAAGTGTGCTACAGTTGATGGTTTTAAAGTGTGCTACAGTTGATGGTTTTAAAGTGTGCTACAGTTGATGGTTTTAAAGTGTGCTACAGTTGATGGTTTTAAAGTGTGCTACAGTTGATGGTTTTAAAGTGTGCTACAGTTGATGGTTTTAAAGTGTGCTACAGTTGATGGTTTTAAAGTGTGCTACAGTTGATGGTTTTAAAGTGTGCTACAGTTGATGGTTTTAAAGTGTGCTACAGTTGATGGTTTTAAAGTGTGCTACAGTTGATGGTTTTAAAGTGTGCTACAGTTGATGGTTTTAAAGTGTGCTACAGTTGATGGTTTTAAAGTGTGCTACAGTTGATGGTTTTAAAGTGTGCTACAGTTGATGGTTTTAAAGTGTGCTACAGTTGATGGTTTTAATGTGTGCTACAGTTGATGGTTTTAAAGTGTGCTACAGTTGATGGTTTTAAAGTGTGCTACAGTTGATGGTTTTAAAGTGTGCTACAGTTGAATATGTGGCCTCTCCTTCTGTCCTCTCACCTGCTCGTCACCGTTTCTTCTTCCCGCCTCTCCCCGCACTGCTGCTGCATGCTGCGCTTCTCTCCTCCCTCCTCCCCATTTCCTCCTCCCTGGCGTGGGCAGATGCGGGAGCAGCTGGTGGCTGAGAATCGCCACAAGTTCGAGCAGGCTGCCAAGGTGAGAGGGAGGGGGGATAGCACGGGTGTGAATATCACAAGTAGTAGGTAGGTTCGCATGGCGGGGGGGCTGGTTGCTTGGGATAGGTAGGTGTGAGTGAGGTGTGGGATGGTACACTCTATCCTGCCCGTCCTGATGATCCCGTTCCCGCCTACCTCTCCCCTTCCCCCCTACCCTCCCGTCCCCCACCGCTCTCTCCTCCACCAGGCGCCAGCGGCGTTCTCATCGCTGCAGGTGGGCGCCTATCTGCGCACCGCTGCCATGCGCCGCCAAATCGACTCCGTTCGCTCTGCTGCCGCCTCTGCCTTCGCTGCCTCTGCCCCCGCTGCTGTTGCTGCCGCCACCCGTCCCACTTCCACCCCTGGTTCGTCCTCTGCTGCTGCTGCCGTGGTAGCGGTGGGGGCATTAGGAAGGGAAGTGACTGGCGTGGGCGTGGCCGGGCGAGCAGGAGGAGCAGCAGAGGCGGAGGAAGGAGTGGGGGTGGGCAGGGGGGGTGGAGGGGGCGTGGGCGGGGGGCGGATAGCATCGGAGGCGGGCAGAGAGTTCGTGTTTACCTCCTCTGTGGGGCAGGGTGCGGGGTGAGTGGGGCAGGGCGCGGGTGTATGGCATTGGTTCGGACGTAAAGGGAGGGCGTTGTGGGTTCATTCGTAGGAGGCACCACTGTGTCGTCCAGTGGTTGGGTGCTGTTTTTTCTTCCATCCCTTCAACCGTCCTCTCCCCGCCTCCTCCTTGCCTTCCCTCTTCCACCAATCCTTCTCTCTTCCCCCTCTTTTCCCTCTCGTCCCCCCCTTTCCCCTTCCTCTCCTCCTCCATCCGTGTGTTCTGATCTGGTCCCCCTTTGCCTGCAGTGACGCTCTCCTGGGACGGCGCCTGCCCCCACTGTCAGCAGCGCCCGCACAGGGCAGGGGGGGAAAGGGGCTGCGCGGGAGGGGCAGGGGAAAGGGCGCCTGGGGGCATCGGTGGACGGGGGAACAAGCTTGGGGGGAGAGGAGGGGGGAAGGGGGAAGTGGCAAGGCGAAGCAAGTGGACGGGGATAAGGACAAGGAGGGGGCGGAGGACAAGTGTGAGAGGGACGGTTTGCGGGATTTCTCATGGGGGGGAGGGAGGGGGCAGGGGGGCACGGAGGGGCTGCTGCAGCTGCCTGGCATTCTGCAGCAGGCGGTGAGCTGGGGGAGGGGGAGGCGGAGGGGGGAGCCGGGGGGACAGTCGGGGGAGGGCGCTAGAGAGGCAAAGGGCGGTGGGACTGGCGGGGCCGGGGATGGGGCGTGTGGAGTGAGTGGAGGCGTTGAGACGCGGGTGGAGGGGGCGGAAGAAGAGGGGGAGGCAGAGAAGGAGGCGTATTTGGCGCTGGTGGCAGAGGAAGGCACGGCGCAGCCGACACAGACAAGTGGCAGTGCTGCCAGCAAAGACGCTGCTCCTGGTTCTGCTGCTCGTGATGCCCCTTCTCTTGGCGGCAGTGGCTTCGATGCTGCTGCTGGCAGCCCTGCAGCAGACAATGCTGCTGATGGCGATGATACAGGGGCAGCAGATGCAGCAGAGAAGGAGGCAGGAGGTGGGGCAACGGAGGGTGGGAGTGTGCCGACGTACCGGGACGAGCAGGGCAGGGTGCGGGTGAGTCGTGTGCGAGGCATGGGCGTGCGCATGACCCGCGACCTGCAGTGGAACCTGGTGCTCATGCGCGAGCGGGAGAAGGAGAGGGCGACGGGCACGGGGAATGGGGGCGAGGAGGAGAAGGGAAGGGATATAGGTGGGGAGATGATGAAGGGTAGTGAGGGTGTGCGGGGGAAGGGTGAAGAGCGGGAAGGAGGTGACGAGAAGGAGGTTCTGTGGGAGGATGGGACGGGGCCTGCTGCCGCCGCCGCTGCTGATGCTGCTGCTGCTGATGATGATGATGGTGCTGCTGTCAGGGAAGGTGGGGCAGCAGGAGGTGTACGTGGGAGGGGGTCTAAAAGAGCAGATGGTGGGTACGAGAAGGAGAAGGGAAGGGGTTTGGAGGAAGGTGAGGGAGAGGAAGGGGAAGAGCAGGAGGAGGGAGAAGGAGGTGAGTTCGAGGATGAGTTGTTTGCCATGCTCGTGGCTCCGGGGAAGGTCAGAGAAGCAGCACCAACGCAGAAGCACAGACCAAGCACCACCACACCAAGCACGGCCGGTGGGGTCGCTGCTCCTTCCACTGCACTTGCCCCGACCCCGCCACCTGCTGCCACCTCGGCACCTGCGCGTGTCACGGGGACGGATGCAGAAGATTGGCGGAAGGAGGAGGAAGAGGAAGAGGAGGAGGAGGATGTGGAGTGGGAGGACGGAGGAGGGGAAGAGGAGGAGGCACAGTCAGATCAAGGAAATGTGGAGGGAGGAGAGGCAAGGGTTGCTGCAGAGAAGAATGTGCAGGGAAAGGGTTCTCCAGGTGATGCTGACGTGGACATGGAGGCTGACGTGGAGTGGGAGGAAGCACCAGTCGCAGTGCAGCACATGAAGCCAAGCAAGGCGTCCCCATCCCCCCAACCTGGCCCGCACTCTCCCCCTGCCCCCACCCCTGTCCCCACCCCTGCAACCACCCCTGCCCATACCCCTGCCTCCGCCATTGCATCTGCAGTGCTATCTGCCCGTATACATGCGGACGAGAAAGTCACAGGGTCTCTTGCTGGCGAGCAGAGGCGTGGGAGGGCATGGGAGGAGGAGCAGGTGGCAGAGGCCGTGAGGAGGAGCCTGCAGGATATGGGGGGGAGGAAGCAAGAGACGCAGCAGAGTGGGGGTGCAGTGGATTCTGAGAAGGATATGGGGGGGAGTGGAGGGGAGCGAGAAGCGGAGGGAGCGGGGGCAGTGGAGGGAGAGGAGGGGGGAGTGGAAGAGGTGGAGGAGGAGAGAGCAGCATTGGAGGAGGAAGCGAGGAGGCTGCGAGAGGAGATGGAGGAGGGCCAGCGACGAGTGCAGGTGAGCCGGGTGCCTTGCATGCACCCATCGCCCATCATCCATCGTCCATCTATCCCTAATCTCCCAATCACCTGTCTGCACCTGTCTGCGACAGTGCCCAGCATGCTACTGGTGCGACGATCATAGTGGTGGGTGTGCTGACCTCTGACTCCACATTGCACGTTTGAGCGTGCAGGAGGAGCAGGCAGAGCAGGACATGAGCCAGCAAGAGGATCAAGAGCAACAGGATGAGCAAGAGGAGCAGGGGGAGGAGGGCGGGCAGGGGGAGCAAATGGACGAGGGGGAGTGGGAGGAGCAGGAGGCGGCGCTGAGGAGGCGGTGGGAGGAGGAGAGTGGGCGGGTGGAGAGGGAGGGGCGGCGGCTGAGGCAGCAGAAGAGAGCACATGAGCGGGACGCTGCTTCTGTCACCTCCGAGATGCTGGCCGAGGTGCAGGTGAGAGCTATCACTGCAGCGACTCTCCTTCCACCTGTCTGCCATTCATTCTATCCTCCAACACTCTTGCCCCACATCAGGTCTACCCTCACTCCTTGCTCCTTCCCTCCTCGCCCCCTCCCTCCCGTCTCCCTTCCCTCTGCCTCTCCCCTCACTCTCTGTGCCTCTTCCCCCCAGGAGCTGCTGCAGAAGTGCGGGGTGCCATACGTGGTAGCACCTCAGGAGGCGGAGGTGCAGTGTGCATGGCTGGCGCAGCACGGCGTGGTGGACGCGGTCGTCTCAGACGACTGCGATGCGCTGCTCTTCGGCGCGCCCACCCTCTGGCCTGGCGCCACCCCTCCCTCACGTCTCCCCTTCCCTCTGTCTCTCTCCCCGCCCCTCGTTCCCCTGCCCCCCTCCCCCCACCCAGGAGCTGCTGCAGCAGTGTGGGGTGCCGTACATAATAGCACCAACAGAGGCGGAGGCGCAGTGTGCATGGCTGGCGCAGCACGGCGTGGTGGACGCGGTGGTCTCAGACGACTGTGATGCGCTGCTCTTCGGCGCGCCCACTCTCTGGCGCCACCTCTTCTCCGATCGGCACTATGTGGAGGTGTATCGCGCTGAGGACGTGCAGCGAGAGCTGGGGCTCAGCAGGAGGCACCTCGTGCGCATGGCCATGCTATTGGGCTGTGACTACACGCCCGGGATCAGGTGAGGATACGCCGCCCTCTGGCGCCACCTCTTCTCTGACCGGCACTACGTGGAGGTGTATTGCGCTGAGGACGTGCGGAGGGAGCTGGGGCTCAAATGCAGGTACCTTGTGCGCATGGCCATGCTATTGGGCTGTGACTACACGCCCGGAATCAGGTGAGCACAGGCCATGGGGCAGGGGCTCTTCTGGGTATTGCCACGCACCTCATCCTCGCGCCTTACCCATGTCTCTGCCCTGTGCGTCCTGTGCCCCTGGCATCTCCCCCTCTCCCGGACAGTGGCATCGGTGTGGTGAACGCCGTTGAGGTAATATACGCCTTCCCCAGCACACGCACGCTGCAGCGCTACTTTCGAGTCGACTCAAAAGTCACCTCATAACCCCCCTCGTCCCCCCCCAGTGGCATCGGAGTGGTGAATGCCATCGAGGTGATCCACGCCTTTCCTGGAGCACGCGGGCTGCAGCGCTTTCGTCAATGGCTTGACTCCCCCCATGCTGCCGCCCTCGCCCACCTGCTGCCCGGGGGGGCACAGGGCGGTGCACAGGGCGGTGCTGTGGGCGCGGCAGATGGGTGGGAGGAGGAGGATGATGGGTGGTGGGAAGATGAGGAGTCGGATGAGGAGGAGGAGGGGGAGGAGGGTGGGGAAGGTAGGGGGAAAGGTAATGGGAGGAAGGGCGAGGGGGTGGGAAAGGAACGGAGTGGCAAGGGGAAGAGCAGCAGGAAGGGAGAGGAGCAGGGCAAGGGGGGGTCAGAGGAGGATCGGGAGGCAAGGAGGGCTCTGGCCGAGGCACGGAGGCGAGAATTTGAAGCCACGCATGTGAGTGCAAGTGCCTGACATGCCTCGTCTTACGTTTGCTTCCCCCTTGCCTTGCAGAGGAACGTGGATTGCACCCTCTTGTTTGATTGTATTCCCTGCCACTCTACTGCCATCCCCTTCAATACAACCCATCCCATCCCATTCCACCTCACCCCACCCAACCCCACTCCACCATCCCTTCACCCTTGGCAGGCGGGGGTGCGGAGGCAGTGGGTGGTACCGGGCAACTTCCCCAGTCCAGCGGTGGCAGCGGCGTTCAACCGCCCCCATGTTGACCGCAGCACCGCCCCGCCCTCCTGGCACCCGCCCGACCTCCCTCCTCTGCGCCAGTGAGCCTCCCCTCCTTCTCCGCCTCCAACCCTCCTCACGCCTCCACTCTCCCTCCACTTTCCCTTGCCCACCCTCCTGTTTTGCGATCTCTCTCTGTCTCGGCCCTCCATTGTTCCTTCTGTGCCTCCTCCTTTCACAGCTTGTGCGCTCCCGCATCCTCCCTCCCTATCTTGCTCCCGCTGCCAACCCTTTTTCCCTGCTCCCCCGTCCGCCTGTCCCTGCATGCCACGTGGCAGGTTGTGTGTGGCGAAGCTGGGCATGGCGCCAGAGAAGGCGGATGCACTGCTGCTGCCAGTCGTCAAGGCCGCCTCCTCCGCCAGGTAGGCTCCCCCATGCCATGCCATGCTGTGGTATGCCGTGCTGCATGCCATGTTCCACGCCATGCCACATGCCATGCTTCATGCCATGCTTCATGCCATGCCGCTGTACCAGGTGTGCTTGCAAGCCGTGCCACCATCACTGTTCGCACTTTCGGGATTTCTTGCCCATATGCTGCTTTACAAACACCCGTTCGGATTCTCTTGTACCATCTCCCATCTCCCATCTCCCATCTCCCATTCTTCCCATCCCTTCTTCCCCCCACCACACCTTCCAGACCCAGCAGCGGCTGGAGGCGTTCTATTCGTTCAAGCAGCGCTTTGCCAAGATCCGATCGCGCCGCGTGCAGCGGGCCGTCACCGGCATCGCTGGCAGCGCTGCACGGCACCTCATGCTGCCGGCCTCGGGGGTCACTGCTCCTGAGGAGGACGACGCAGACGAGAGTATCCTTGATGCTCATGCCCCTGCTGCTGATGCTGCCGATGCTGCCGATGCTGCTGGTGCAGCTGGTGGTGCTGGCAATGGGAATGTTTCTGGTGGCAGGAAGCAGGATGGTGTGGCAGCAGTTGGTGGTGGTGGTGGTGGTGGGGCGACTGGTGTGAGGCGTGGGAAAGCCAAGGGTGCTGCTGCTGCTGCGGGCGGGGAGAAGAAGGGGCGAGGAGGGAAAGGGCGAGGGAGAGGGCGGGGTGTTGCGAGTGAGAGAGGCAGGGGGAGGGGGAGGGGAAAGGGGCGAAATGGAGGGCGTGGGGTAAGGAGGAAAAAGGGAGATGCAGCGGAGGATGCTGAGGGCGAGTGGGCATCCTCAGGCGAGTCAGGGGAAGAGAAGAGGCATGGCAGGGGCATGGAGGGGGGGGCAGCAGAACAGAGCACAGGTGATGGCAGCACGCGAGGGGCTGAGGGTGGTATGGAGGGGGGTGCGGCTGAGCGTGGGGGAACGGGCGTGGCGGTGAGGGTGCAGCCAAGACGTGAGGCCAAGCGGCCGCGCCTGCAGCTTGGAAACTCCGATGCTGCGCTGGGTGGTGATGGGGTTGCCTTGAGTGACTCGCATGAATGCAGCAGTGGGAGCCGTGCTAGTGGTGGTGGCGATAGCGATGGTGATGACGCCATGTTTGATCCCAGGGAGCACCTGCCCTCACCTCTCACTGCACGCCCTGCACGCCCAGAGCACACTTCTCCCACAGGCACAGGTGCAGCCACTGCCACGCTCACTGGCGTGCTCACAGGCACAGGGAAGTGTGCGGCAGCAGGGCAGGCAGGTGGGCGAGGTGAGAGTGAGGGGAGCACGTGGGTGGTGCAGCAACACTCCCATGGGGCAGAGCAGCAACAGGTCGTCGCACAGCAACAGCAAGGCCTCCTGCATGCCTGCCGTGCCTCCCATTCCTCCCCTCGTCATGCCTCTGGTGAAGCCCATACGGGTGCAGCAAGTGCAGGGCAGGGGGGTGCAGAGTGTGACTCCATGCACGCGCTTCTGCATGGAGGGGGGTTCTGTGTGGGGGAGGAGCAGCACGGGGAGGGGCAGGTGGCGGAGGCAGGGGGCCAGGAAAGGGGAGAGGAAGAGCAACAGCTGTGGATGGAGCAGACAGGAGGAGCGGAAAGGGAGGAGATAAGGGGCGTTGTGGCAAGTAATGAGGTCTCTGGTGCTTGGGGTGGGTGTAGAGAGATGGGGGAGGAGGTGGTGGGAGGGAGGGAAGGGGTGGATGCGGAGAAAGAGAGCGAGGAGGGTGGTGGTGGGATGGTGGTTGTACCCACAGTACAGAGTGACCAGTCTCTCACCCTTGCCTCATTGGAGCCAGCTTCTTCTACTCCTGCTGCACCTCCTGCACGGGACCCCCCCCACAGTGCCGCCATGGGCCCTCTGCTGCCCGCCCCCTTGCGCCGCAAGAAGCCCCGGGTGCGCTGAAGCGAGCGTGCATGGCATGATTCAGGATGGGCCACCTGGCAAATGCGCCAGCATTACCGCTTGCATATTTTGTAAATAGGTGCATACGGTGGCTAAATTTAAATTTCTGTATTAAGTTCGTTATTAGATTTAGACTTTGTCCGCGCCATAGGCCCGTGCAAAGAGCGAGGCTGATGCTGCCTTCCTCACAGCGTCCCAATTCACTGCAACCCGACACACATTCACTTCACACGCTTGTTCCACTTCACAGCAATCCAGCGACCACCAGCCACGTGTCGTCTCGCCACCGCGCCACCTCTCCATGTCGAACGCCATGGCCCAACCGCTCTCTCTTTGCCGCCCGTCCCCTTTTTTAGGGGCGCCCGCGTCGCAATCTCCGTCATTGTCGGCGCGCTGTGTGCGCGTGCCACGCGGTGCGGGCGTGAGCCGACTTTCCGCCGTGAGGGCGCCTTCAGCGGTGGCCGCGCGGCGGCGCGTAGTCGTCACTGGTACGTCCGTAGAGGGAAACTGCCCGCGCTCGCGTTCATTGCGCGTTCGCGTGGATTGCGCGCTCCGGGCAGTAGGTTGCGTGCCTCTGCCCTCATGCATTGTGCATTCCGACCATGCATGCACGCGTGCGCGCCTGCGGGAGTGCGGGCGGGCGTGTCTTACTTCCGCCTGCAACCCCTACTCTCTCGCTGCCCCGCGTGTGTTGCCCATATCGTTCTCCTGCACTCCTCTCCCCAACCAACCATCCCCGCTGCCCTCTCGCGCGCCAGCTTCCGCGAGTGCGCGCGCGGAAGACGCGGGCGCGGAGGCGGCGGAGATAGAGGCGGCGGTGGCGGTGCTGGCGGAGGCGGCGCGCAGCAAGCAGGTGAAGGGCGAGGCAGTGTTTGCGGCGCTGCGGCGGCTGGAGACGCGGAAGGTGGGCGCGGAGGAGAGCAAGGCGTGGCTGGCGGCGCTGGGAGGGGTGGCATCGCCTGGACACATGTGGCAGCTGGTGTTCACTGCTGGTAGCGGCGAGGTGCGTGCGCGGGGCGATGGGGGAGTGCGTGTGTGGGTGGGTGGTGGCGACATGGTGTGCTGCACTGCAATCCCATCAATTCCCACACGTCACATACCATATGCCCTCTCTCCCACTCCTCATGCCATGTGTCCCTCCACTGTGCCCTATGCCCCCACGTGCCCCATGAGCAGGTGCGCAAGGCGGCGAAGGGCGGGGAGGGCACGGGGTCGTACTTCCCCATCGCCGCCATCCAACGCTTCGATGCCACCGTGAGTTAACCCCAGGCCACCCTCCTGCTGCTGCTGCTACGCTCTTCATGCTCTCAACTGTCACTGCTGCATATTGCTGCGACCCACCATTCCTCCTCGCCACCACCACTGTCCTCATCCGCCTGCCATCACCATCATCATCTCATTTCATTTCTCCGCTATTATGCTGCTCCACAAGCCCCATCTCCCTCCCCATCACCCCCCTGCTTCTTTGCACCCCACCTATATCCCTCCTGCTCTTTCCAGCAAACAATCCGCATGTGCCCTCAAACATCCCTGCCACACCATCCCCTCCTCCCCTTTTCCCCTTTTCTCCTCCCCTCTCTCCCCCCTCCCCTCCTCTCCCCGCCTCTCTCTCCCCACCAGGCGATGGCGATAGAGAACGGGGTGTTCCTGACTCCGGTGGGATACCTCACCTTCCAGGGCACACCATCACCTTCTCTACTTTCCCTCTCTTTTCCCATCCCCTCTCTCCCCCTCCCCCCCCAACCCCGCCCACCAGGCGATGGAGATAGAGAACGGGGTGTTCCTGGGTCCGGTGGGCTACCTCACCTTTCAGGGCCCCATGGGCTTCACTGCTCGCCGCCTCGCCTTCACCTTCCACACACTCACCCTCAAGCTCGGCCCGCTGCCGCCCTTCCAGGTCAGCTGCCGCCCTTCCAGATCAGCTGCCGCTCTTCCAGGTAAATTTGCCGTCCTACCAGGTCAGCCTGGCAAGTGGGGGAGCGTGTAGCCACACTCATGGCTTTGGGGCCCTGGTCTCCATCACTCCCTGCGTGACACAGCCTTGCCGCTGCCTCCTGCACATCTCCCTCTCTCTCTGCTGCCCCCACTTTCTGCTTCCTGCACTCCCTCGTCACTCGCTTGCTTGCTACCCGTGCTTTCGACTCAACTCAAAAGTCATCCCTTGCATGTTCCGAACCCTCCCCTTCCCCCGCCACACACTTCACCTCCTCTGCCACATGGCAGTGGGGGATAGGAAAGGAGGAGGACAAGGGGAGGGTGCCAGGGGAGGGCAAGGCGGGCAGCAAGGATCCGTTCTTCACCTGGTTCTATGTCGATGACCGCATTGCTGCTGCACGAGGTAGGGGCGGTGGTGCTGCCTTCTGGGTGCGCTACACGGGGCCCTACAAGCAATAGTGCGAGGGGAGGGCAAGGCGGGCAGCAAGGACCCTTTCTTCACCTGGTTCTACGTGGAGGATCACATCACTGCTGCCAGGGGCAGAGGAGGTGGTTATGCCTTCTGGGTTCGCTACACCGGGCCTTACAAGCAATGACGCCACACCACACCAGTACCACCCCACCACGGCCACCATACCCGCGTACTTCCAAAATGTCTCAGAAGGACCCTTACAAGCATTGTCGCCGCATGTCGCACCCAGCTGTTTCTGTAGCGCATTATTTATTGTGTGAAATGGTGTTAAGTCAGAGTGCGTGTAGCGCTTGCTGTGGAAGGAAGTGGATGGCTTGAGTTGTGAACTTTTACAGTATGTCCCATTGCCTTGTTTGAATGTACATTTTGTAATGAGTTCAAAATATTTAGTCACCCAACCTTATGGAGGCAGTTTACAGCGAAGTTGATCACATTGAAAATGCGCCGCAATCAGCACCACGAAAGGGAAATGCGTTTGTGGGACGTGAGACCAAGACGCGCGATGGCGGGTAGGCCGTGGTAGCACCGCGCTGTCGCAGAAAGGCGCAGGGAAATCCCTAGTGGTGCGGAGGAGCGCGGACGAGTTCTGGGGCCGATTCCCCTCGTCACGCGTCATAGCCGCCACTGCCACGACAACAGCGCTTAGTCGCGCTGCTCCTCCACGAAGCTGCGTGCACCAGGCGGCGCGGAGCGGGCGGAGCGGAGCGGGCGGGGCGCCATGCGCGCCGTATTCCAGCGGGTCTCATCCGCCCGCGTCGAGGTGCGCCCGCTGCTGCCACGTCCAGGCTCCCCTCCCGCTCCGCTTCCGCTTTCCTTCCTCTCCAGCGCTTGACCCTCTTCCCCTTCCCCTTTCCCCACGCCCCGTATTTCCCGCCCTTCCTCTCCTCCACCGTATCCGCCAACCTCCCGCCACCCTGATCCGTCCGTGCGACACCTTCCCCCTCCCCGTGTGCGGCATGCGGGGCGCGCGCAGGTGGAGGGGCGCGTGGTGGCGGAGATCGGCGCGGGGCTGTGCGTGCTGGTGGGGGTGATGGCGGGGGACGGCGAGCAGGACTGCGACTACATGTGAGCGGGGGGGGGGAGGGGGGGGTGATGATTGGAGGGCGAAGGGGGCAATGATTTTGTGGGCTGTGCGATGGTGCGGTAGGCGATAATGGAAGGGGTTTGTTTTGCAGGTGGCAGTGATGGGTTGGAACTATACTGCCTTCATGCAAGTGCATGTGTGGGTGTGCAAGTGGCAGTGGTACATGCCCGTGTGAGTGATTTCTTTTTCCAATCATCCCCCTCGCCCCAACAATCCGTGGCCCTGCTCGCATGCACTCTTGCACTGCATCTCACACTCATGGCGCGCAGGTGTCGCAAGATACTGAATCTGCGCCTGTGGCCCAATGAGAAGACTGGCAAGGCGTGGGACCAGAGTGTGAGTCAGGGGCGTGGGAGTGAGTGGTATGTGATTATGTGCACGTGCGTACAGGAGAGGCTGGGGTGGGAGCATGATGCATCTGTGTGTCAGCCATGTCGCAGCACCACTTGCACCCAGCCATTCACCTGTGTGCGTATCTTGTGTCTGCCCGCCTCTCTGTGCGTGCAGGTGTCGCAACGAGGCTACGAGGTGTTGCTAGGTGCGTGACCTCCACCTGCCACCCTCTCACCCACCCCACCCCCCCTTGCACGTGCACCGCTTACCTCCGTATGTTTCTCCCCACCACCCCTACCACCCCCACCGTGCACTCCCACCACCCCCCTGCACAGTGGTGAACATGACTGGCTGCTCTCCGCCCGTTCCGCCTCCCTCACCTGTCTGCGCCACGTCTCTCCGCACCCCTCCTCGTGCCCTCCCGCCCGCTCCCCTCGCTCCCCCATCACCCTCGCCCTTCACATCGCTATCCTCTTCTCACTTCCTCTACTGCACGCCTTGCCCGGTGGGGGCGCAGCATTCAGTCGGTTCACAGAGTACAGGCACCCCAAGTATCTCCTCTCGCTCCCCCCACTGCCCCTCACCCCAATCGCCCATGCCCCCGTGCGCCCATGCCCTCCCCCCATCGGGTGCGCCAGTGAGTCAGTTCACACTATACGGGCAGCCCAAGGGACTCCTCTCGCTCCCCCCGTCACCCCTCTCCCCTCACCCCTCTGCCCCCCCTGCGCCCATGCCCCCCAATGATCCATGGCAGTGAGTCAGTTCACGCTGTACGGGCAGCCCAAGGGCAACAAGCTCGACTTCCACGTCGCCATGACGCCCCCCCAGGCCAGCACCATGGCACACATGGCACGTTAGCGTCAACTCACTCTGTATTGGTGGCCCAAGTGTCTCCTCTCGCTTTCCCCACCGACCCCTTGCACCCATCCAATGATCCATGGCAGTGAGTCAGTTCACGCTGTACGGGCAGCCCAAGGGCAACAAGCTCGACTTCCACGTCGCCATGCCGCCGCAGGAAGCCAGCACTTTCTACAATGATTTTGTTCACCGCGTGCGCCGCGCCTACCACCCCGACCGCGTCAAAGGTGCGTGCTTCCTCAGTCAAGTTTCGAGTCGATCCAAAAGGCACCCCAGGAAGCCAGCGCCTTCTATGACGCTTTCGTGCACCGCGTGCACCTGGCGTACCACCCCGACCGTGTCAAAGGTGAGCTGCTTCAGACTACTCACATATCATTCCGTGCGTGCGCCACGCCTACCACCCCAACTACTCGCGTCAGGAGTGAGTGAGGTGCAGCATGGGAGCAGGCTGGGCCGGGGGAATGCATCCCGCACACGCAGACAGGAAGTCGTGCCACTTTGTTCCAACCCATAATCTCGCTTTCTCCCTGCACTCTCCCTTCCAACCCACTCTCTCCATGCTTTACATCCCCCCATATGCCTGATTGCTCAACCTTCCTGTGTGTGTGTGTGTGTGTGTGTGTGTGCGCGCGCGCGCGTGTGTGTGTGCCCCGTGCCTCCCTGCCCTGTGTGCGCCTCTGCACTGCCCGCCCATCCACCGCAGACGGCATCTTTGGCGCCATGATGGAGGTCAGTGGGTGGTGAGGGGTGGTGGGGTGTGGAGTTTGGTGAGGGGTGGTGGGGGGGAGGGTGCTTGGTGAGGGGGGTTTCAAGGATGTAAAGGGGGGGTAGGAGGGGTCAGGGATGTGTGGGATGGTTCCAGGATGAGAATGGTGTGGTGTGGTTTAGTGTGGTTCATTCTTTTGTGTGTTGTCATGCACGCGTGTCAAATGCCAGCCTGTCAGCCTCTTTGTCGATGCCTCACCTCACCATCACCCCATTCCTGCCACCACGCCTCCCCTCCCCACGCTTCCTTCCCTTCCCACGGCTCCTGCCCGTGCTGTGACTGCAGGTGCACATAGCCAACAGCGGCCCCGTCACTCTCTTCCTCGACTCGCGCAAGCAGTCAGGCACAGAGGGCAACGGGGGCAATGGGGGCAATGGGGGCAATGGGAGCAATGGGAGTGATGAGGGGAAGCAGGGGCAATGAGGTGATTGGCATGGCTGGGGGTGAAGGGGACAAGGGGGGTGTTGTGGGTAGTTCATTGCAGCTGCCCGTGCTGTGGAGCACAAAGCAGCGGAGGTGTGGTCTAACTGGGGCATGCCAGGGCGGGTGGGTGGGTGGGCGCACTAAGTCCCCAGGCAGACACCATGGCATGGCATGGTGAGGGGCTGCACTGCACTGTGGAGCGTGGTTATTGCTTCCTTGAATACCTGATGAGTGAAGTTCTGTAGGAACCTGCAAGTGTGCAAGCCTTTCACAGTACAAACACCCCAGGATAGCAAGGATTGGATTAGAACAGTTCTTCTAAGACTGGCATGGTACTGTTCTGATCTGATGCCCTCATTTGCAGAATGGCATGACTCATCATGAGCACATGCCTTACTGTTTATTCCTACTGCTGTGAACACCACTGCACACAGCACGAGAGTGCCAACAGCAGCATGTGACAGCACGCTACCTCTGCTCACCCCCTCCCTCACAGTACAAACAGCCCAGGATAACTAGGATTGGATTAGGATCATTCTAGTACAGGCATGGCACTATTCTCTTGCCCGCATGTGCAGAATGAAACGACTCATCAGCACGTGCCTTATTGTTATTTCCTACTGCTGAAAACACCACCGCACAGCACGAGCGTGCCAACAGCAGCATGCGACAGCACGCTACCTCTGCTCACCCCCTTCCTCACTGCCTCCTCTGCTCCTACCCACGGGACATGAATCTCCTCAGTGTGCCCAGCCCCAACCCCCTCTTGCTGCTCCCACTCCCCACCTCTCCCTGCTGCACGCCCCTCCCCCATCCCTCCCCCTGCGCCTCCCACCCCTCGCGCCTCTCCCCCGCCCCTGCCGGCCCCCACACGCTCCTACCTCCGCCCACCCCACCACCACCACTGCTGCCGGCACCATCGTAACTACCGCCGTGACCATAACCACCACTGCCCCTGGCGGACACAGCAGCAGCAGCAGCAGTGGCAGTGGGCGCCAGAGGCGCCACTCTGGTGGAGCGCCGTGAGTCACTGAGCGACCGTGGGATGCCCATGCCTGCTCCCATGCCCATGCCCGTGCCCTTTCCTGCCATACCCACCTTGGCCCTGCCCCTGCTGCCACTGCCGCTGCGCCACAGCATGCCCATCAACCCCCTTCTCTGCTGCTGCTGCTGCTGCTGGTTCCCTCCCCAACTCCCACCTCCACTCCCTGCTCCCCCAACCCCTCCCGCGCTCCACCCCCCACCACCCTCGCCACCCCACCCGCCTGCACCATCTCGCCCCCCGCCCTGCACAGTGCTGCTGCTGCCGCTGCTCTCCACCTCGCTCCACTCCCTTGCACCGCTCTGCACCGCAGCAGTGCCGCCTGCCAGGGACCAGAAAGACCCAGAAGGCCTGTCATGGGGGGGAGGAGGCCACTCGGGGTGGGGCGGGCAGTGCAGGGAGGAGGAGGGTGCACACCCACTGCCCGCGTCTGACACCTGCTGCTCGCTGCTGGCCCTCTGCTGCTCACCGCCCGCCCTCTGCTGCTCGCTGCTGCTCCCCACGTGTCGCTCCTGCATTTCATGCTGCGGCCACCAGGGTTGCGGGGTGGTCTGGGGGTGTTGGAGGGAGGAGTGGGTCGCATGGTGGCGCGGGGGGAGAGTTGGCGGGGGGAGGGCGGGTGGAGGGAGGATGGGCGGGGGGCGCTGCCCCATGGAGTGGGTGTGAGCGCGGGGGATGAGCAGAGGATGGGGGGAGAGCGAGGGGGAGGAGGGGGACGTGGAGGAAGGGGAGGCGGGAAGACAGGGGAAGGAGAAGGGGGAGGCGTCTGGAGGGGAGGTGTGCGAGGGGGAGTGTGTGTGGTGGGATGCAGTTAGGGTGGGTGCATGCCATTCGTGGCTCTTGGAGCATGCAGCACCACCACCAGCACCAGCAGCAGCAGCAGCGCCACGGGGCAGCAACGCAGCAGCAGCAGTGCTGTCAGCACTGTGCCGCATCCACTCTGCTCCCAATGCTCCCTCCCCGTGTGATGCACGGTCTGCCTTGAACGGCTCCTCTGCGGCGAACGGTGACACCAATGCCAGCCCCCCCTCCACTGCCCACTCCCGATCCCGCTCTCGCTCTCGCACTGCCATGTGCGCCTCTTGCTGCCGCCGCCCACCCTGCCCCTCGCCCTGCTCGCTCCTCCCTCGCACCTCTACCTCCTCCTCCCTCTCGACACTCCGCCCGCTCTTCCTCTCCCCCGCTGCCGCCGCCTCCCTGCCATTCCTCTTCTCACCCTCATCTTTTGCCTCCGCCACCCCTCTTGGCCCCTCAGCACCGCTCTCAACCCACTCGTTGTCAAGCACCCGAGCCACCTCCCACACCACCCCTGCCACCACCTCGCTGCCCTCCTCGCCTGCTCTCACTCCCCTATCCTCCCCTCTCAACCCCGCATTCTCACCTCTCTGGCCCCCATCCTGCTCACACCCCTCTGCACGCCCTCTAGTCTCGCCAGCGGAGCCATCAGAATGAGAGGCGGCACCGCTGGCGTCACTACGGCCCTCCTCCCCTCCTTGCCCTCCTCGCTTCACCTCCCCGCCTCTCTTCCTCTCTCCCCCGTTCCTCTGCCCTGCATCCCCTCTCACTCTCCCGCTCCCATTCCTCACCGCCTCGCCTTCACTCCCCACCCGCCGCACTTTCCCTCTCCTCTCCTCGTACCCCTCACCTTTCCCTCGCCCCACCTCATCTGCCTCACCCCTCGCCGCTTCCCACCCATTCCGCCTCAGAATCGCTCCCGCAGCACTGCTGCTGCTCCGCACCTCCTCGTTGCGCGCGCCCACGCGCCTCCCCGCGCGCGGCTTGCCCCCCTGCGCGCCGTCCAGCGCATGCACGCCCGCGCCCCCTCCGCCCTTTCTGCTGTGCGCCGCTGGCGCTGCCACCCGCCGCGCTGGCAGCTGCGGCACCACCACCGCTGCCGCTGCTGCTGATGCTGCCACCGCTGCACTTGCTGCTGCTGCTGCTGCGGCACTTGGCGATGCTGATGCTGCTGGTAGCACGGGAGGAGGTGCGGGCGGGGCTGCGAGGGCGGAAGGTGGCGGCGGGAGGAGCTGAATTCGTTCACTTGACACCGTCAGGGTGCCCTCCGCCTTCTCTCCCACCCCAACTCCGCCTCCCTCCGCCTCTGCCTGCTGCTGCTGCCTCACCTGCTCTTCTTCCCCTTGCTTCCGCTGCTTCTCCCCCTCGCGCTGCGCCCGTTCTTCCTTCATTTGTGCCGTCCATCTGCCTCCACCCTCTCCTCTTGCTGCATCCTCTTCACCTCCGCCTCCTCCGCCTTTTCTGCCACCTCCGCCTCCTCCTGATTCCGCCCTTTCTGCAAACTCCACCCCTCTCTCCTCCCCCCTCTCATGCACCAGCGCACCTGCCATTCGCCGCACTGCCACCAGTTGCCCGTCTCCCCTTCCAAATCCCCCCTCCTCCTCCCCGTCACTTCCCCCCGTTGCGCCAGTCGCCACCACCAGCGCCAGCGCGCGAGTCAGCGCCTCCATCTCCCTCCCCCCCTCTCCGCCTTCTCCCCCGCCTTCACTCCCCCCAAAGCTTTCCCCTTCCCCACTCCACTGCACACCGCCGTCCAAAGCACGCATGCTGCCCCTGCCACCCTCCCCCACGCCCTCCATTCCCCCGGCTCCCCCGTCCTCCCCCACCTCGCGGATCTGCGCCAGCTGCTCTCCCCCCATCACCGCGCGTAGCTGGTACGCCGCCCTCCGCCACGCGCCTCTCTCCGCCAGCTGGCGCCGCCTCGTGCGCTCCTTGCTGGCGCGCAGCATGTCCAGCTCAGCGCGCAGCGACGCTGACATGGCGTCCCCCGCGTGTTCCCGCTGCTGCACCTGCCGCCTCAGGCTCCGCGCCTCCGCTTCCGCCACCGCCGCGCGCTGCCGCCACGCCTCCTGCTCCTCGCGCACCCGCTCCACCTCCCCCTCCATGCGCGCCGCCAGAGCCTGGGGGGAAGTGGGGGGATAGTCGGTTTGAGGGGCGAGGTGGGGAAAGAGAAGGAGAGAAGCATGACGCACACGGGAGCGGGAATGCGGAGAGTGGCAGAGGGCAGAGAGTGAGAGAAGTCAAGGGAGGTGGCACAGCTAACACGAGCGCATTCCCTGCCCCCAGGCCCGCATTCCACTCCCACCTGCAGCACGGCCAGAGTGCCATCACTGCCTGCACTGCCGCCCTCGTTGCCACCGCCCCCGTCGCCCCGCTCCCTCTTCCTCTGCCCGCCGCCCGCCTCTGTCTCCGAGCCGCCTCTCTCCTCGCCGTCTCCCCCTTCCCCGCGCTCTACCGCGTGACCTTCCATGCGCGCTGATACGTCCTTGGTCGTTGCCACGTCAGCAGCGATGCGAGCCATGGTGCGCTCAAGATGAGCCATCTGCAGCCGTTGCATTGTGAGGGGCCGACAGGAACGAGCACAGGGTGTTGGGATGGGTCAGAAGAGAGAAGACGGAAATAGCGCGCAGGCATGACAAATAAAGTGCTCTACGCGGCACGAGTATAGACAGACACACCAACACACCTCCCGCGTCTCACCTCGCCCGCGTCGCGCAGGATCTTGCGCTTCAGCAGCCATGTCGCATCGCCGCCACTGCCGTCGCCGCTGCCGCCGGAGCTGCTGGCGCCGCGCGAGGCGGAGCTGCTGGCGGCCCACGAGAGGCGCGACGACGACGCGCTGCTCGACTCCGCCTCCGACTCCGCGCACTCGCTCCCCGCGCCACTGCTTCCGCCCGCGCCCGCCTTCCCCTGCGCCTCCATGCGCCGCATCAGCCCCTCCAGCCGCTCCCGCAGCCGCCGCGCCTCCACCAGCGCGCGCCTGCTGCACCCCATGCTGCGCGCACCCGCGCCCTCCCCTCCCATGCCTCCCGCGCCCGTGTCACTCAAGCTGCCGCCGCCCGCGCTGCCCCCATCCGCAGCAACAGCGAGAGCGAGCGAAGCAGGCGCGCCAGCAGTAACGGCAGTAGTGGAGACGGGGGAAGGCAAGGCTGCAAGTGAGCCGTGAGGGGGCGAACACAGCGGTGCAGGGAGGGAGGCGCGCACGGTGGCACGGGCGGGCGAGTCAACGCAGTCAATGGAGTCAATGGAGTCAATGGTGGCCTTGAGTGCAGTCGCCATGCGCGCGGCTCGCCTCATCTCCATCTGGCTCTCGCGCCACTTGCGCTCCACCACCCCGCGCTGCTCCTCCAACTCCCGCCGCGCTGCCGCCATCCGCGCGCCTCCCGCCTTCTTCGCCTCTTTCCTTCCGCCTCTACCTCGCTCCTTACCCACGCCTCCCCCTCCCGTCCCCCAGCCCTCCGAGCCGGAATCGGCAGCCCGATCGTAGCTCGTGCCGGACTTGCCGGCCGCCGACACTCCAATCGAATCGCCTCCACGGCTTCCGGTTTCCACGCTTGCGCCCTCTAAGTAAATATCACTTTCTTCCTCGTCTCGCTCTTCCTCCTCCTCCTCCTCCTCCTCCTCCTCCTCCTCCTCCTCCTCCTCCTCCTCCTCCTCCTCCTCCTCCTCCTCCTCCTCCTCCTCCTCGTCCTCATCTTCATCATCGTCGAGCGACAGGCGCAGGTTGAGCGCCACGTCATCCGCGAGGGGGTTGAAGAACGCGCTTGACCCGCCGCCGAACAATCCGCGGCTCGTTGGGTCTGGCGCGTCCCAGCTATCGTCCTCCGATTCCAACTCGTTGACTCGCGTTGACCGCCACGTGTTAGCACCAACCAACGTTTCTTTTCTCCCCTCCGCCCTACTCTCCGTCTCTCCGTCGTTGTTTCCTCCCCTGCTCGTTGCTTTCCCCTCGTCGTCCCCCTCTGCCTCCGCCTTCCCTCCTTTGTAGCCAGCAATCTCTGCCTTTCCACGCGTCTCCGCCAAGCCTGCTCCGCTCGCCACATGGAACCGCGCTGTAGCATCGGACCGTTCATCGTCTGCTTCCCCCGCGTCGTGCGCCCTGCGCGGGGGCGATGGCCCCCTGTGCTCCGCGTTCGCCTGCGCGGCAGCGCCCTGCGACGCCCATCGCGAGGCCGCCACGTGCATCATCAGCCGCTCGTTCGCCCGCAGCACGTCCTCGCTCGCCGCGCCGTCTCCCCCCTCGCTCACCGCGCCCTCGTCACCGCGGGCGGACGCGCTCTGCTCCGACGCGTCGTCGCGTGATGCGCTGGCGGGCGTCGGTTGATTGGCGGCAGCGAGGCCTTCGGGGAGCCACGAGCGCACGTCCCAGTGGCTCGGCGCGCTCTGCTCGGCGCGCAGCTGCAAGGAACCTGAGCGGGCGTCGGGAGATGGTACGGATTGCGCGGAAGAGGGGGAGGCGGGCCTGGTGTGGCGGAAGAAAGGACGAGGCGGGGCGGAGGAGGGGAAGGGAGAGGAGGCAGAGGCGGAGCTGGCAGGGCCAGTGGAGGGAGCGGAAGGCGGAGGGTTTGCAATAGCGACAGGGGAGCCGGCGGTATCAAGGCCAGATCGCTTCTTGCGGAGGTGTCGTATTCGCGAGAGGCTGTCGGTGAGTGCCTTCATCTCCATCTCGTGCCGAGAAATGCCCTCCGACTCCATTGCCACACTCGTGCACTCGCCGAGCGGCTTCTAAAGTCAATGCTACCAGTCGCTGTCTTGTCGCACCACTACCCAGAAGTGCTGAAGGTCAGATGGAAGAGGTGCTTGCTGTCGTTGTCACACTGTTCGTGTAAGCGGGAGCTCACGTCAACATCGCAACTCGAGTTACGAAAGAGCTAGACTGCTTCTAGTCCTTGTGTAACACCTACAATCTCCTACGCTCACCGTCCCTTTCTTTCCGCATCGCCTTGGGTTTCTACAACTTCGATTGCTTTGTCCACTTTTTGAGAAGCGCCAACATGGCTGCCTTGCCTTCACTTGACGCATTTGGCACCTCCTCTCACATCCATTGCATTGCGTTGCGTTGCGTGATAGCGATTGCGCATTTCGCCCCTCTCATCTTAGCCCCCGCGAGCGCGACTTGTTCCTGGCATTGAGATCGCGCCCCGGCATGTGCGGGAGCACGAATCCTGTGCCTCGCGCGCATCGCGTGGGTCAAAAATTTTGTTCCTGCCACGCACGAATCGATATTTCGTGGGTGGGCAGACGAGAAAATAGTATTTCCAGCTCAAAATGACCTTCGGGCTGGGTCAATGGTGAGAGGGGGGAACTTCCTCCCGCCTGAGATTGTTTACCAGCTTTATGAGTAACTCGAATGCGCAGTAGAAGATGAAGCGAACAACCTGATACCAAGGCTACTGTATGAGGCGCTTTTTTTGCTCCAACCTATTCTCCTTATTGTAATTTAAAGATCGTTCCATAATGAATTAATTAAATTATACGAATATAAAAAAAACTCTTCCTATTTTGTTGTAGTATTTATGGAACTGCTTATAAACTTTGGAATGGTTACGCGAATATGATCCTGGCTCTAATGTAACGCGAACAAGATCCTGGCTCACGAAACCGTCAGTAACGCGAATATGATCCTGGCTTCAATGTTCCCTTGGAAGTCCGTTGCGGAAAAATGGGTTTCTCCCGCCTGTCGAGCACACCAAACCAGATTGCCTCACCGCTCACACTGTACCTTGGTTACTTCGGAAGCCATTCCCAAGGTCACAAGCTACATTCGTACGGCATAGGCTCTTGTTAGGATCCTGTTTGATCCATCGCCATATCGTTAGGCCCGGCTGGTGACATAGCAGTGGCCCTACCCGAATCCCTTTAATTGTTTAGTGCTTTCCTGTCGTCAGTGGCATCACCAATACTATTTTGACGACTAACATACAAAGCCGTCACAATGATGCTCGGAGGGACCAGATTGAGGTTAGTTCCGTGCAAATCAATGCGTTTTCTCAGGTTATATGACAAAATGCTTCTTTTTTACGCGCATCGCGATCCTATAGTTATCCTGAACGATTGTTGCTCGACGTTTCAGGGACATGATCCGGAATGTCCGTGCGTGTAAGACAGCGGCCGAGGAGCGAGGGGTGATCGCGAAGGAATGCGCGAATCTACGGACAGCGTTCAAGGAGAATGACATCGAGTACCGGCACCGCAACGTCGCGAAGCTGATGTTCATCCACATGCTCGGCTACCCCACGCACTTCGGCCAGATGGAGTGCCTCAAGCTCATCGCGTCGCCGGGCTTCCCGGAGAAGCGCATCGGGTATCTGGGGCTCATGGTGCTGCTGGACGAGCGCCAGGAGGTGCTCATGCTCGTCACCAACTCCCTCAAAAAGTAAGCGCTGCTGCTTGCCTTTCCCCCTCACACCGAATTCGTCGGACCCGCACTGTGGATTCGCATTCACGTGTCGTGATCGTCCAAATTCGCGAATGGTTCTCGCACAACAGGTGTGCATGCAGTAAAAAGGCCCCACGTCCTCCTTTCTCTGGATCCAGTTCACGATCATGGGTCGCTCTCTTCCCCTCTCCAACGACCTCGCATCCTCCTCCTTCTGCTCCCTCCCCCTGCTCCCATCGTCCGTCCTTCTCACCCCTCCCCACCCCATTTCTTCCCCGTTCCCGCAGCGACCTGAACCACACGAACCAGTTCATAATCGGGCTGGCGCTGTGCGCGCTGGGCAACATCTGCTCCAGCGAGATGGCGCGCGACCTCGCGCCCGAGGTGGAGCGCCTGCTCAACAGCAACAACTCCTACATCCGCAAAAAGGTGACTCCGCAACGCAACCCCTCCCTGCACTCACGCCCGGACTGCCACTGGGATGCGTGCGTGCGTGCAGTCGAGGTTGCTTGTTGTGATTCTTGGAGCACCACCGCCACTCACCCCGGCCTCCGCTAGAATCTCCGCTGACCCACACTCATCCCCTGCTGCCTCACACCCACCCCCCCGCCCCTTTCCCCCAATCCACCCACCCCCTCCCCGTGCGTGCAGGCGGCGCTGTGTTCGGTGCGCATCATCCGCAAGGTGCCGGACCTGGCGGAGTACCTGCTGGGGCCGGCGTCCGGCCTGCTGCAGGACAAGCACCACGGCGTGCTGCTCTCCGGTACCAAGCTCGCCATCCAGCTCTGCGACACCCACCCCCCCGCCCTTGACTACTTCCGCAAGGTCAGATCCCCCTCCCCCCATTCCCCCTTTCCCCCCTCTCTGCTGTTGATGTTTCTTCCACTGAAAGGGGGCTCAAAGAGTAGAGCTTGTGAGGGTGTTGACAAGCTGATTAATACCAGGTGTCAGCACTTGTAAAGCAGCTGGAGCTGGCTTGGCCGCTCGCCATGAGCAGGCTGACTGACGCCTTTCCACCGCCGCTGCTCTCTCGCCGCCCTTCCCCCTCCCCCCCCAACAGCAAGTGCCTGTGCTGGTGCGCATTCTGAAGAACCTGGTGGTGAGCGGGTACGCACCCGAGTACGACGTGGGCGGCATCACGGACCCCTTCCTGCAGATCCGCGTGCTGCGCCTCCTGCGCATGCTCGGCAAGGGCGACCCCGACGCCAGCGACATCACGAGCGACATCCTCGCGCAGGTAGGGGCATCCTCGCGCAGGTAGGGGCATCCTCGCGCAGGTAGGGGCATCCTCGCGCAGGTAGGGGCATCCTCGCGCAGGTAGGGGCATCCTCGCGCAGGTAGGGGCATCCTCGCGCAGGTAGGGGCATCCTCGCGCAGGTAGGGGCATCCTCGCGCAGGTAGGGGCATACAGGCGTGCTGGTGCATTTAGGGTAGGGGCATCCTCGCGCAGGTACAGTGGAGGCATGCTGGTTGAGTTGAGGCAAGGGCGACCCCGACGCCAGCGACATCACGAGCGACATCCTCGCTCAGGTACAGTGGAGGCATGCTGGTTGAGTTGAGGCAAGGGCGACCCCGACGCCAGCGACATCACGAGCGACATCCTCGCTCAGGTACAGTGGAGGCATGCTGGTTGAGTTGAGGCAAGGGCGACCCCGACGCCAGCGACATCACGAGCGACATCCTCGCTCAGGTACAGTGGAGGCATGCTGGTTGAGTTGAGGCAAGGGCGACCCCGACGCCAGCGACATCACGAGCGACATCCTCGCTCAGGTACAGTGGAGGCATGCTGGTTGAGTTGAGGCAAGGGCGACCCCGACGCCAGCGACATCACGAGCGACATCCTCGCTCAGGTACAGTGGAGGCATGCTGGTTGAGTTGAGGCAAGGGCGACCCCGACGCCAGCGACATCACGAGCGACATCCTCGCTCAGGTACAGTGGAGGCATGCTGGTTGGGTTGAGGCAAGGGCGACCCCGACGCCAGCGACATCACGAGCGACATCCTCGCGCAGGTAGGGGCATACAGGCGTGCTGGTGCATTTAGGGTAGGGGCATCCTCGCGCAGGTACAGTGGAGGCATGCTGGTTGAGTTGAGGCAAGGGCGACCCCGACGCCAGCGACATCACGAGCGACATCCTCGCTCAGGTACAGTGGAGGCATGCTGGTTGAGTTGAGGCAAGGGCGACCCCGACGCCAGCGACATCACGAGCGACATCCTCGCTCAGGTACAGTGGAGGCATGCTGGTTGAGTTGAGGCAAGGGCGACCCCGACGCCAGCGACATCACGAGCGACATCCTCGCTCAGGTACAGTGGAGGCATGCTGGTTGAGTTGAGGCAAGGGCGACCCCGACGCCAGCGACATCACGAGCGACATCCTCGCTCAGGTACAGTGGAGGCATGCTGGTTGAGTTGAGGCAAGGGCGACCCCGACGCCAGCGACATCACGAGCGACATCCTCGCTCAGGTACAGTGGAGGCATGCTGGTTGAGTTGAGGCAAGGGCGACCCCGACGCCAGCGACATCACGAGCGACATCCTCGCTCAGGTACAGTGGAGGCATGCTGGTTGAGTTGAGGCAAGGGCGACCCCGACGCCAGCGACATCACGAGCGACATCCTCGCTCAGGTACAGTGGAGGCATGCTGGTTGAGTTGAGGCAAGGGCGACCCCGACGCCAGCGACATCACGAGCGACATCCTCGCGCAGGTAGGGGCATACAGGCGTGCTGGTGCATTTAGGGTAGGGGCATCCTCGCGCAGGTACAGTGGAGGCATGCTGGTTGAGTGGAGGCAAGGGCGACCCCGACGCCAGCGACATCACGAGCGACATCCTTGCTCAGGTACAGTGGAGGCATGCTGGTTGAGTTGAGGCAAGGGCGACCCCGACGCCAGCGACATCACGAGCGACATCCTCGCTCAGGTACAGTGGAGGCATGCTGGTTGAGTTGAGGCAAGGGCGACCCCGACGCCAGCGACATCACGAGCGACATCCTCGCTCAGGTACAGTGGAGGCATGCTGGTTGAGTTGAGGCAAGGGCGACCCCGACGCCAGCGACATCCTCGCTCAGGTACAGTGGAGGCATGCTGGTTGAGTTGAGGCAAGGGCGACCCCGACGCCAGCGACATCACGAGCGACATCCTCGCGCAGGTAGGGGCATACAGGCGTGCTGGTGCATTTAGGGTAGGGGCATCCTCGCGCAGGTACAGTGGAGGCATGCTGGTTGAGTTGAGGCAAGGGCGACCCCGACGCCAGCGACATCACGAGCGACATCCTCGCTCAGGTACAGTGGAGGCATGCTGGTTGAGTTGAGGCAAGGGCGACCCCGACGCCAGCGACATCACGAGCGACATCCTCGCTCAGGTACAGTGGAGGCATGCTGGTTGAGTTGAGGCAAGGGCGACCCCGACGCCAGCGACATCACGAGCGACATCCTCGCTCAGGTACAGTGGAGGCATGCTGGTTGAGTTGAGGCAAGGGCGACCCCGACGCCAGCGACATCACGAGCGACATCCTCGCTCAGGTACAGTGGAGGCATGCTGGTTGAGTTGAGGCAAGGGCGACCCCGACGCCAGCGACATCACGAGCGACATCCTCGCTCAGGTACAGTGGAGGCATGCTGGTTGAGTTGAGGCAAGGGCAACCCCGACGCCAGCGACATCACGAGCGACATCCTCGCTCAGGTACAGTGGAGGCATGCTGGTTGAGTTGAGGCAAGGGCGACCCCGACGCCAGCGACATCACGAGCGACATCCTCGCTCAGGTACAGTGGAGGCATGCTGGTTGAGTTGAGGCAAGGGCGACCCCGACGCCAGCGACATCACGAGCGACATCCTCGCTCAGGTACAGTGGAGGCATGCTGGTTGAGTTGAGGCAAGGGCGACCCCGACGCCAGCGACATCACGAGCGACATCCTCGCTCAGGTACAGTGGAGGCATGCTGGTTGAGTTGAGGCAAGGGCGACCCCGACGCCAGCGACATCACGAGCGACATCCTCGCTCAGGTACAGTGGAGGCATGCTGGTTGAGTTGAGGCAAGGGCGACCCCGACGCCAGCGACATCACGAGCGACATCCTCGCTCAGGTACAGTGGAGGCATGCTGGTTGAGTTGAGGCAAGGGCGACCCCGACGCCAGCGACATCACGAGCGACATCCTCGCTCAGGTACAGTGGAGGCATGCTGGTTGAGTTGAGGCAAGGGCGACCCCGACGCCAGCGACATCACGAGCGACATCCTCGCTCAGGTACAGTGGAGGCATGCTGGTTGGGTTGAGGCAAGGGCGACCCCGACGCCAGCGACATCACGAGCGACATCCTCGCGCAGGTAGGGGCATACAGGCGTGCTGGTGCATTTAGGGTAGGGGCATCCTCGCGCAGGTACAGTGGAGGCATGCTGGTTGAGTTGAGGCAAGGGCGACCCCGACGCCAGCGACATCACGAGCGACATCCTCGCTCAGGTACAGTGGAGGCATGCTGGTTGAGTTGAGGCAAGGGCGACCCCGACGCCAGCGACATCACGAGCGACATCCTCGCTCAGGTACAGTGGAGGCATGCTGGTTGAGTTGAGGCAAGGGCGACCCCGACGCCAGCGACATCACGAGCGACATCCTCGCTCAGGTACAGTGGAGGCATGCTGGTTGAGTTGAGGCAAGGGCGACCCCGACGCCAGCGACATCACGAGCGACATCCTCGCTCAGGTACAGTGGAGGCATGCTGGTTGAGTTGAGGCAAGGGCGACCCCGACGCCAGCGACATCACGAGCGACATCCTCGCTCAGGTACAGACATACTGGCGCAGGTAGACGCACCCTGGCGAAGGTAGACGCACCCTGGCGAAGGTAGAGCCACGTTTCACCCTCACAGCATCTAGCCCTTCACCCTCTCATCCTCTGCACTTCTTTTCCCTGTCCCGCGTGCATGGGGTGCCCCCATTTACAGGTAGCGACGAACACGGAGGCGAACAAGAACACGGGCAACGCCATCCTGTACGAGTGTGTGCACACCATCTTTGGAGTGGAGGCCATTGGCGGCCTGCGTGTGCTCGCCATCAACATCCTCGGCCGCTTCCTCGCCAACCGTGACAACAACATCCGGTATGTGCCACCCGTCCCCGCCCCACCCCCCGCCCGTCCCACCACGCCCCGCCCCACCTCGCCATTAACATCCTCGGCCGCTTCCTCGCCAACCGTGACAACAACATCCGGTTCTCTACCTCTACCCGCCCCTCCCCCCTCCCTCTCCTCCCCGACCCACCATGCCCTGCCCCTCCCCGCCCTGCCCTGCTGCCCCGCCCCGTCCCACCCCGCCCTTCTTCACACATGCTCGCACTGCGGTGCCTGCTCCATTTGCATTGTGGACTCTTTGCCATCTCCTCCTGACGCTGTATGTGTTCAGTGACTATGTGTGGGCCTATATGTGGACGGTGTTGCGGGTTTTGGTGTTGCCTTGTATGGGTGGGGGGGTACGGAGTTGTGTGGGTGCGGCTGTGCATGGGTGCATGGGTGTGTGTGTGTGGGTGCGACTGTGCATGGGTGCATGGGTGTGTGTGTGTGGGTGCGACTGTGCATGGGTGCATGGGTGTGTGCGTGTGGGTGCGACTGTGCATGGATGCGTGCGTGCATGGTATGGCGGTTGCAGGTACGTGGCGCTGCACACGCTGATCAAGGTGGTGGCGGTGGACACACAGGCCGTGCAGCGCCATCGCAACACCATCGTCGAATGCGTCAAGGCAAGTGCCACCTCCTCTGCCTCCCTCCCACACCACCCCTGCTCCCTCCCTCTCATACCACCCTTCCTGTCCCCCTCCCACTCCACCCCTTACCGCCCTCACTCGTGCAACCCCACCATCGATTCCTCTTTCACATTGTTACTGCCACGGCCTGACACTCTCACCGACTTCCTCTCTCCCCTCTCCACCCCCTTCCCCCCCCTCCTTTTTTCATGGTTGCACGAGCAGGACTCAGACATTTCGATCCGAAGGAGGGCGTTGGAGCTGGTGTGTGCGCTGGTGAACGAGGGCAACCTCAAGGCGCTCACCTCCTCTCTCCCCTCCACCCTTCCCCCCCCCCCCTGGTATGCATGGTTGTGCGAGCAGGACTCGGACATATCCATCAGGAGGAGGGCGTTGGAGCTGGTGTGTGCGCTGGTGAACGAGGGCAACCTCAAGGCGCTCACCTCCTCTCTCCCCTCCACCCTTCCCCCCCCCCTGGTATGCATGGTTGTGCGAGCAGGACTCGGACATATCCATCAGGAGGAGGGCGTTGGAGCTGGTGTGTGCGCTGGTGAACGAGGGCAATCTCAAGGCGCTCACACGAGAGCTGCTGGACTACCTGCGTGCCGCTGACGCCGAATTCAAGCCCGACCTCACCTCCAAGATCTGCGCCCTCGTGCAACGGTGCTGCGCCCACCTCCTCTCCCCGTTCCCGTTCTTCCTTTCCTCCTCTCCCTTCTTCTCCCCTCTCCTGTCGTTTTGCATGCCATGTACTTCAAGCCCGACCTCACCTCCAAAATCAGTGTCCTCGTGCAACGGTCCCCCCCCACCCCTCCCCACCCCTCCCCTCTTTCCCCCCTTCCTCCCCTCCTCCTCTCCCTTCTTCTCTCTTCCCCCCTGTCGTTTTCTGTGTCATGTGCTGCGTGCTTTCTCCCACCTGGTGTTGTGCTGTCCGGCATGTGGCTTGGTATGCCTTTCTGAGACACTTCAAAGCACCAACCTGTGGCGTGTGTGCCCTGCTGGCCGTTCATGTGCATGTGCGTGTGCGTGGGGGGGGAGTGTGTGCATGGGGGTTATGTGTGCATGGGGGTTATGTGTGCATGGGGGTTATGTGTGCATGGGGGTTATGTGTGCATGGGGGTTATGTGTGCATGGGGGTTATGTGTGCATGGGGGTTATGTGTGCATGGGGGTTATGTGTGCATGGGGGTTATGTGTGCATGGGGGTTATGTGTGCATGGGGGTTATGTGTGCATGGGGGTTATGTGTGCATGGGGGTTATGTGTGCATGGGGGTTATGTGTGCATGGGGGTTATGTGTGCATGGGGGTTATGTGTGCATGGGGGTTATGTGTGCATGGGGGTTATGTGTGCATGGGGGTTATGTGTGCATGGGGGTTATGTGTGCATGGGGGTTATGTGTGCATGGGGGTTATGTGTGCATGGGGGTTATGTGTGCATGGGGGTTATGTGTGCATGGGGGTTATGTGTGCATGGGGGTTATGTGTGCATGGGGGTTATGTGTGCATGGGGGTTATGTGTGCATGGGGGTTATGTGTGCATGGGGGTTATGTGTGCATGGGGGTTATGTGTGCATGGGGGTTATGTGTGCATGGGGGTTATGTGTGCATGGGGGTTATGTGTGCATGGGGGTTATGTGTGCATGGGGGTTATGTGTGCATGGGGGTTATGTGTGCATGGGGGTTATGTGTGCATGGGGGTTATGTGTGCATGGGGGTTATGTGTGCATGGGGGTTATGTGTGCATGGGGGTTATGTGTGCATGGGGGTTATGTGTGCATGGGGGTTATGTGTGCATGGGGGTTATGTGTGCATGGGGGTTATGTGTGCATGGGGGTTATGTGTGCATGGGGGTTATGTGTGCATGGGGGTTATGTGTGCATGGGGGTTATGTGTGCATGGGGGTTATGTGTGCATGGGGGTTATGTGTGCATGGGGGTTATGTGTGCATGGGGGTTATGTGTGCATGGGGGTTATGTGTGCATGGGGGTTATGTGTGCATGGGGGTTATGTGTGCATGGGGGTTATGTGTGCATGGGGGTTATGTGTGCATGGGGGTTATGTGTGCATGGGGGTTATGTGTGCATGGGGGTTATGTGTGCATGGGGGTTATGTGTGCATGGGGGTTATGTGTGCATGGGGGTTATGTGTGCATGGGGGTTATGTGTGCATGGGGGTTATGTGTGCATGGGGGTTATGTGTGCATGGGGGTTATGTGTGCATGGGGGTTATGTGTGCATGGGGGTTATGTGTGCATGGGGGTTATGTGTGCATGGGGGTTATGTGTGCATGGGGGTTATGTGTGCATGGGGGTTATGTGTGCATGGGGGTTATGTGTGCATGGGGGTTATGTGTGCATGGGGGTTATGTGTGCATGGGGGTTATGTGTGCATGGGGGTTATGTGTGCATGGGGGTTATGTGTGCATGGGGGTTATGTGTGCATGGGGGTTATGTGTGCATGGGGGTTATGTGTGCATGGGGGTTATGTGTGCATGGGGGTTATGTGTGCATGGGGGTTATGTGTGCATGGGGTTTATGTGTGCATGGGGGGGTGCGTGTGCATGGGGGGGGGTTGTGTGTGCATGGGGGTGCATGCAGGTACGCGCCCAGCAAGCTGTACCATGTGGAGATCATGCTGCGAGTCATGACCGAGGTACACCCTCTCTCCTCCCCTCTCCTCACCTCCACTCCCCTCTTCTCGCCTCGCCTCTCATCAAGCATCCCTCCACTCGCATCAACCAATCTTTCATGTTTGCACGGCACACCTTTGTTTCAACATTCCGTGTCTGAACAGCACCCATGTTTGTGACTTGACTCACTCGCAAGCGGTCATCTTTCTTCCTGAGCAACAGATGTGCCTACGTGCCTCCCACTCCCTCTGTGCGTGCCTGTGTGGCTGGGCAGGCAGGGGAGTTCGTAACGGATGACGTCATCCGCTTCCTGGTGGTGCTCATCAGCAACGCCCCTGAGCTACAGGGCTTCGCAGTGCGCTCGTTCTTCCACGCCATGCGCTCCTGGAAGGGCCAGGTGCGCTCTTTCCCCCCTCCGTCGCCCTCCCCTCAACCTCCCTTTGCCCTCCCCTGGCCTCCCCTCGCCATCTCCTCGCTCTCCCCTCGCCCTCCCTTCTCCATGAACCCTCGCCACCAGTGAAGCACTCTTGTCTGCCTTGCCTTCTTGCATCCATACATCACCACCGCCTGGCTTCCTATAACAGCGCATAGTGCATGCTGCATGCTGCATGCTGCGTGCTGCATGGCAATCATGCCCCCTCTGACTGGCACGGCGTATGCGCCTCGCCTCCCCCTTCCCTCCATGTGGTGTGGCAGGAGAGTCTAGGAGTGGTAACGGTGTGGTGCCTGGGCGAGTACGGGGAGATGCTCGTCAACAACACCGGCCTTCTGCAGGGCGAAACGCCCCTCCAGGTGAATCCCTCGCCCGTTATTGTTCCGTGCTCCCTCTTCCTAGCCCACACTTTCTTGTGAATTCCCATCTGAAACTCAATGCTACGTGTTTCACCAGCAGCACAGAATGCACTCGAGCACTGTTCTGGTGCGCTTGACACCAATTTTTCCGTCCATCCATCCATGCAAATCCACCAACCACTGCCTGCCAAGCACCCAGCCCTCCCTGAAACCACCCGTGTGTGCGTGCATGGTGGGGTGGGGCGGGGAGCAGGTGGCGGAGGCAGAGGTGGTGCAGATGCTGGAGGGCATCATGAAGGACACGCGCGCCACGCCCACCCTCAAGGCCTACGTCCTCGTCGCCCTCCTCAAGCTCTCCTGCCGCTTCCCCTCCTGCTCCCAGTGCGCCTCTCGCTGCCCAAGTTCCACCCTCTCTCTCTCGCTCACCTCCCCTCCTCTCTCATCTCGCTTTCCCCACAGTAATGCTCTCTCGTGTGTGCCCAGCAGTTGTGCCTATGTCCCCATCACTTCTTGCTTCGCTTCACCATCTCCCTCTCTCCGCCTTCCACTTGACTCCACTTCAACTCACACCCCCGTTTCACCCGGTATTCTCTGCCCGCACCACTCCACATCTCTCCCCGCCCACATGTCCCCCTCTGCCTCTCCTGCAGGCGCATAAAGTGGTTGGAGGAGCAGCACCGGCACAGCCTGGTGTTGGAGTTGCAGCAGCGCTCAGTGGAGTTCAGCGCCGTGCTCGCCCGCCACGACAAGATCAAGTCTGCCCCCGCGCCCCATCCTGATTTCCCACAACTCCCCACCCCCACGTCTCCATTGACTCCCTCCTGGCTCTTCTCCCATGGGTTCCTCTGTGCACTGCTGCTGCCTGTCGCCTTGCCTCATGTTGTTGCCTGCCTTGCCCCTCCATCTGCCTGCACTCCCACCTCCTCATATTGTCATGCTTTGGTCTGCTGCTTCATGCGAATCCCCCGTCACTGGCTTTCCGCACACCATTTCTGCAGCCACCACGCACGTATGCACACCTCACACCTTTCCCTCACGCCCATCTCCTCCCTCCTCCCCTCCATCTCGATCCCCCCCCCCTTAACCGCCCCCTTTCCCCTCAGAGCCACGCTGGCAGACAAGATGCCAGCACTGGATGAGGTGGCGTACCGATCCAAGCGCGCTGACCTGGCACCCGACGCAGCGGCGCGGGCAGCAGCGCCAACAGGGCAGCCGTCAGCCAATGGCGCGGCGGCAGCAGGCGGGGCAGTAGGTGGAGTGCGAGCAGCAGCCCCCCAGGCGCAGGCACAGGTGTTAGCAGACCTACTGGACCTCACGGCTGATGACTCCTCTGCTGCCCCTGCTGCCGCTGCCGCTGCCCCCGCTGCTGCTGCGGGAGGGTTGCTGGATCTGCTGGGAGGGGTCAGTGCTCCCACTGCTGTTGCCGCTTCTGGTGAGCCTTGCTTTGCTGTGCTCCTTTCTCACTCCGCCCTCCGTTCTCTGTGCTCCCCACTACACCCCTTCTGTCTGCTGCTCTTTATACCTGTGGGCATGCTGAGCCCGTCGTGCATTGCATTCTCCCAACCCGGCCATCTACAACAACCCACCACCTCCAATCTTTCTTCACTGCTCACATGTACCCGATCAACACCCTCCCCTCCCCCCCCCTCCCGCCACCAGCGCCGGCACCGGGCGGGGCAGACCTGCTGCTGGACCTGCTCTCCCTCGGGGACGCACCGGCACCCCCTGCAGCAGCAGCAGCACCCGCCGCCATGCCAGCCGCGGCCATCGACCCCCTAGCAGGCCTCATGGGCGGGGCAGCACCCACCCTCATCACCCCCACACCAGCAGCAGCACCCTTCGCCCCAGCTGCAGCAGCAGCGGTGGATCCGTTTGGAGGCTTTGCGGCAGCACCGGCAGCAGCAGCAGCAGCGCCATCGTTCCCGGGGATAGTGGCGCTGGAGAGCCGGGGGCTGCGCATCACGTTTGAGTTTGCCAAGGACCCTGCTGCCCCGCAGAGCACCACCATCAGCGCCACCTACACCAACTCCTCTCCCTCGCCCCTCACTGACTTCGTCTTCCAAGCTGCTGTTCCCAAGGTGCGTGTGCGTGTGTGACCAAGGTGCGTGTGTTTCCCTGTACCCGCACCAACCTTTCCACACACTGGCACCTGGCACGTGCCTGGCAGGGAGTGAGCCCGTCAGCCCCTTTGGCAACCCACTGTTGTGCGCCTTTCCCTCCTCTCCTCCCCACTCCCCACGTTCGTCCGAGTGCCCTTCATGCAGTTCATGCAGCTGCAGCTGGAGGCGGCATCAGGGGCCGTGGTGCCAGCCAGCAACAGTGGCAACGTGACACAGACCATGCGCATCACCAACACCCTGCATGGCCAGGTCAGTCGGTGTGCATGGGCAGGTGAGCACATGCATGGATGCATGGACAAGTGAGCTGTATTCACAAGAGGAGAGTGCGAGGCAGTGCACTTGTTCTGATGGTTGCGCACGTGCTTCTTTCCACACCACCAGTGCCATGCATGTTGATGCTTGATTCTGATGGCCACATCTCACTTAGGTGAGGGAAAGCGTGAAGCTTCCTCCCAACCATGCTGCTGTGCGTTTACGTGCCTGGTTATGTGCCTATGTGCCTGTGCCCTCCTGTGCCTGTGCCTGCCGGTGTGCATGAGAGCAGAAGCCACTGGTGATGAAGCTGAGGGTGTCATACAAGGTGGGAGGCCAGGACGTCTTGGAGCAGGGCCAGGTCAACAACTTCCCCGCTGGCTTGTAGCACACCGCACCGCACTACACTGCACTGCATCATGGATTCATCCGAGCGTTCTACTATTGCACACTGAGTCCTTTTAAAAATGACCCACTCCCTGGTGTTGTTGCAGAGAGGCAGTAGCAATTGATGGCTTGCTGGAAAAACCATACCGTAGATTCCTTGCTATTATTGTACAGTGGTTATTTTCTATGTGCACTCTTTTGGAACCCGTCATTTCCAACCGAAGCGAACCAGAGCAGCACAAAGCAAGATTCGCCAAGTTGCTACGCGGCAAACGCGCACTTTTTTCTCACCCATCGTCTGCAACAGCTCTTACCACGTCACTCGCTGTCCGCGGTACCCGCCCAGGACAGCTGTCGCCCCTCCATCGTCGATCGTATCCGCGTCCCCAGCAGTCGATTCGTCTGGGCCGCGGTGGGCGACTCTCCTCGCGGCCGCTCGCAGCGGTGACTGCCTGCGCGGATGGCGGCCGCGGCACGCGCGTAGCGGCGATACGCGCGTAGTGGAGAGCATCCGCGCCACGCGGCGACGATAGCTTTTTACCATTCGCTCGCTTTCTCGCCATCGACCACGATGCAAGGTCAGCCATGCGTAGTGGAACCGCCCTTGCTCGCGCTGGTCCGCCATTCACCCTCGTGTCGCCATGACTGCGCGGCTGGACGAACGGGCGTGTGGCTGCACGTCGCGATTCCCTCCCCCGTCGTCATCGTCTCATCCCGTTCCTCCTCTCCCGCCGTGCTCCCCTGCAGCGCGCATTCGCCGCCATTCCGCTTCAGCCTTTCCCCCCACCGCTCCCCCTTCACCCCTTTCCACCCACCCTTCCCCTCGTCCCTTCCCCACACCGCCCCGTCCTCATCCGCCTCCGCGTGCGTCCCCCCCACCAGCGGTGCGCGCGCTGGTAGTAGCGCTGCTGGCGGTGGCGATGGCGGGCGGGGCGGCGGAGGCGCGGCCGGAGGGGTTCGGGCGGTGGTTCGTGGTGCCCGCGCTGGACGGCGAGGGGTCGTTCGCGGGCGCGTGCGGGCCGCGCGTGGCGGAGGAGACCCCCGCGTGCAACGTGAGCGGACGCAGCAAGGGGCACGAGCTGCGCAGCTACCCCGACGACGAGGTGGGAGAAAAGGGGGGCGTGGGGAGAAAAGGGAGAGGGGGGAAAGATGGGGGAGTCGTGGGGTGATAGGGTGGAAAATAAGGGGAAAAGGGGAGTGACGGGGGGTGAGTGGATGGTTGGGGTGTTGCAATGTTAAAAGACCGTGAGTGTGCAGGTGAGGCGGGGGATGCAGGCCACTCAGAGCCATCATTCACAGCCTCATTCTTGCTCCCCTCCCTCCTTGAATCCATTCACTCGCGATCCACTGCCCATATCGTCATGTCCCTCCCCCTCCCCTCCCCTTCCCTTCCCCTCTCCCATCTCCCCCTCACCCCCTGCCCTCCAGGTGTGGGTGACGACGATAGTGGTGAACGCCTCATACGACAAGGCAGTGGAGGACGGCACGTGGCGCCTGCGCACTGTTACATCCACTGCACTCTTGCCCCCCCTTCTCCTTACATCCACTCACTCGCCGTCCACTGCCCACACCGTCATGTCCCTCCCTTCCCGCATCCGTATCCTCCCCCCAGGTATGGGTGACAACCATAGTGGTGAACGCCTCATACGACAAGGCAGTGGAGGACGGCACGTGGCGTCTGCACTCCTTCTTTGCCGGCCACAACGCGCGCTCAGAGCCCATCGCACTCACCGCCCCCGTGCTCACCATGCCGCGCCCCGAGGCAGCCGGCTACGAGGTATCTCTGGTGGTGCCGCGGCGCTACTCGCCTGAGAGCGTGCCGCAGCCCACGGACCCGACAGTGAAGCTTGTGCTGATGCCGCGCGGTGTGGTGCGCGCTGTGCTGGGGCCGTTTGGGGGATTCCCCACAGAGGCGGTGTATGGCAGCAAGCTGCAGCGCCTTAAAGGATTGTTGGAGCGGCGTGGCATGGGGTTTGATGAGAGCTCGGGCGCGTACGCGGGGTACAGTGGTCCGTACACACTGCTTAATAGGAAACAGGAGGTTTGGATCAGAGTGTTCCTGCCTACCTGATGGTGGGACGTGTTGTGTGAGGGCTTGTACAGAGGCTTCTTATAGTGAAGCCTAATGAGGATAGGCTAGGTTCGTTACAATTTCCATGTGGTGGTGCTGATTGATCAGTGATGCACTAGCTTCCGTAAAACCACAAATGGGAAGCTTTACAGGTATAGTTTGATAGAAATTGCACGATTACCCTAGATTTTGGCTGTGTTCCCATGCTTGTGTTGTTGATTTGACATATTAATATAACTTCCTGCATCTACGATTCTCTCTCTTAGATGGTAATCAGGTTCGACGGTAACGTTTGTCAAGTGGGGGATCTTTTGGCGAAGCAGGGACAATCAACCAATTCTTGGTGGCGAACCACCACACCACCTGTGTGCTTCTTGTCGCCCCTTGGTCTGCGCTGTGGTCGTCACCAAACCTCACCCCTTCCAGCGTTCCCTTCGCTTCCCCCCGCCATCGAATAGCTCTCGTCAAATCCCCTACTCTCCCTTCTTCCCCTCCTTTTCCCTTCCGCCCCTCTAACGCCACTGGGACACCAACACTCAGCGCCATGGTTCTCAAGTCCGTACCGCCCAACCCTAACGCATGCTTCCCCTCATTGCTCGCTCCGATCTGACGTCGCGATTCCATCTTCGTGCGCCGTCTCCTCTTTCGCCTCGCAACTTCACCAGATTCCCCGCTCTTCCAGTTCCGCCCTCTAACCGCTAGTTTGTCGTGCTGCGTGCCGTGTCCCGTGCGTGTTGTGCGTGCCGTGCTGCGTGTGCTGCGTGTGCTGCGTGTGCGGCGTGGCAGGACGGAGCTCTGCCGGTTCAGCGGTGCCAAGATCTATCCCGGGAGGGGCATTCGCTTCATCCGCGCCGACTCGCAGGTCTCCCCGCCGCCCCATTCCCCATTACACCCACCCCCCCTTCCCCTCGCTCCCCCTTTTCCCCCACTCCCCCACCCCCTCCCACGCGCTTTCGTTGCCTCCCCTGTCTCGACGCGCCCGCACTTGTTATCTCCGTCAATCCCTTCGCTATTCCTCCGCGACAGTATCAGCTCTAGCCTGATTTAGTTTGCATTCAGTGGATTTCTGAGTCGGCTGACGGTGCGGTGGTGGTTGGCGTGTGGGGGATGGGCCGGGCGGCAGGTGTTTCTGTTCGTGAACGCCAAGTGCAAGCAGTACTTCCACAACCGCCTCAAGCCGTCCAAGCTCGACTGGACCGCCATCTACCGCAAGCAGCACAAGAAGGTGCGTCGCCGCGCGGGAATAGGTGTCGAAGTAGGTAGAAGCAGCGACGCAGGTTGCAACGTCGAAGCTGGTCAACAGGTGGAGAGCGATGGGCGGCGAGGGATACGCCAAAAGCGATGGGCGGGGTGGGATTGGCGGACAGGGCGATGGGCGGAAAGTGGCGTGGGCGCGAGGAGGTGACGAGATATAGTGTAGAGAGGAGGCTCGGCGGGGCGAGGCAGTGGGGGGCCAGTACGGGAAAGGCAGGAAGACGGGGGAAGAGTTCGTGGGGAAGACGAGGGAGGAGGGGCACAGGGAGGATTTTAGAAGGAATGGAGGCAAATGGAAGGCAAGGCTAGCGGAGGAGAATGGCGGTTAGCGGGTTGTGGAGCAGCAGTGGTGCTCGCATGGAGGGAGGTAGGGGAGGGCAGTGCAGCGGATGGCTGGGTGTGGAAGTAGAGTGGTTGCGATCATGAGAGGCTGTGGGCGCTGACCGCTAGGAGCAAGAGGCGTGGGAGTGAGATGTGTGAGGGACTGGTGGGAGAGGGGTATGCCGTTGGGAGTGGGCGAGCGACGGTCAATCATGAAGCGGGCGAGGTGACACGAGGCAGCTGTCGGAATGGTTATCGACGGCTTGGCAGTGTTCGGTTTTGCGCGTCGTCATGAAGCGTCCCACGTCTTGTGTTATTCATGCGCGTCGTCGTGTCGCAATTCGCGTCGTCATGTCGCCATGCGCGCCGTCGTGTCGTCATGTGCGTCGTCACGTCGCTATTCGCGTCATGTCGTATTACACCTCCCCGCGTCGCGCCCATAATCAAATTCAGCCCTGCGGGTCCGTGCCTCGTGTCACTCGCCCCGTCTCTTAGTCACTGTCCCGCCCGTGTCGTCTCCCGCCTCGCGCGCAATGCATCCGCCCTCTTCCCTCCGAGACTCACCCTCCTCCTTTCTCGTCCCACACGCGCGCCCCTTCCCCGCGGCTCCCGCTGTCTTCGCTGACTGCGCGCGCAGGACGTGCAAGCGGAGGGCGTGCGGCGGAAGAAGCGCACGGCCACCAAGGTGCACAGCCGCTCCATCGTGGGCGCGTCGCTCGAGGTCATTCAGAAGCGCCGCTCCGAGAAGGCCGAGGTCCGCGCCGCCGCCAGAGATGCCGCGCTCCGGTCAGTTGTGCCCCGTGGTCCCGCCCCTTGCATTCCCATGCCATGCATTTGCATGGCCATGCGTTCCCATGCCATTCATCTTCATGCCGTGCCTTCCCATGCCATTCATTTCCATGCCATTCATTCCCATGCCATTCATTCCCATGCCATGCATTCCCATGCCTTTCATTCCCATGCCATGCATTCCCATGCCATGCATTCCCATGCCGTGCATTCCTATGCCGTGCCTTCCCATGCCATTCATTCCAATGCCATGCGTTCCCATGCCATTCATCTTCATGCCGTGCCTTCCCATGCCATTCATTTCCATGCCATTCATTCCCATGCCATGCATTCCCATGCCTTTCATTCCCATGCCGTGCATTCCCATGCCGTGCATTCCCATGCCGTGCATTCCCATGCCGTGCATTCCCATGCCGTGCATTCCCATGCCGTGCATTCCTATGCCGTGCATTCCCATGCCGTGCATTCCCATGCCGTGCATTCCCATGCCGTGCATTCCCATGCCGTGCATTCCCATGCCGTGCATTCCCATGCCGTGCATTCCCATGCCGTGCATTCCCATGCCGTGCATTCCCATGCCGTGCATTCCCATGCCGTGCATTCCCATGCCGTGCATTCCCATGCCGTGCATTCCCATGCCGTGCATTCCCATGCCGTGCATTCCTATGCCGTGCATTCCCATGCCGTGCATTCCTATGCCGTGCATTCCCATGCCGTGCATTCCCATGCCGTGCATTCCCATGCCGTGCATTCCCATGCCGTGCATTCCCATGCCGTGCATTCCCATGCCGTGCATTCCCATGCCGTGCATTCCCATGCCGTGCATTCCCATGCCGTGCATTCCCATGCCGTGCATTCCCATGCCGTGCATTCCCATGCCGTGCATTCCCATGCCGTGCATTCCCATGCCGTGCATTCCCATGCCGTGCATTCCCATGCCGTGCATTCCCATGCCGTGCATTCCCATGCCGTGCATTCCCATGCCGTGCATTCCCATGCCGTGCATTCCCATGCCGTGCATTCCCATGCCGTGCATTCCCATGCCGTGCATTCCCATGCCGTGCATTCCCATGCCGTGCATTCCCATGCCGTGCATTCCCATGCCGTGCATTCCCATGCCGTGCATTCCCATGCCGTGCATTCCCATGCCGTGCATTCCCATGCCGTGCATTCCCATGCCGTGCATTCCCATGCCGTGCATTCCCATGCCGTGCATTCCCATGCCGTGCATTCCCATGCCGTGCATTCCCATGCCGTGCATTCCCATGCCGTGCATTCCCATGCCGTGCATTCCCATGCCGTGCATTCCCATGCCGTGCATTCCCATGCCGTGCATTCCCATGCCGTGCATTCCCATGCCGTGCATTCCCATGCCGTGCATTCCCATGCCGTGCATTCCCATGCCGTGCATTCCCATGCCGTGCATTCCCATGCCGTGCATTCCCATGCCGTGCATTCCCATGCCGTGCATTCCCATGCCGTGCATTCCCATGCCGTGCATTCCCATGCCGTGCATTCCCATGCCGTGCATTCCCATGCCGTGCATTCCCATGCCGTGCATTCCCATGCCGTGCCTCCGCCTGCGCTCGCTTGCTATCCTCTTGCTAAAGCTTGTGTGTGGGCCGCTGCACCCATGCACCCATGCATCCATGCAACGCACAGTGTAGCTCCCCGTCTCTGCGTGTGTGCTTGCCTCTCCTGCGACCCCTGTTTGCCCCCTTGTCGCCCTTACTCCTGTTGCACTCACCACCTTGTCGTGTGTGTGCATGCGCTGGGAGGATGTGGGGGCACATGTATACGAATGTGTGTATGTTTATGTGTATGTATATGCATCTCTGTATGAGTGTGATCTTGTGTACTTATCTGGCGGCATCGGTGGCGTTTGTGTCGGAGCAGTGAGATCAAGGAGCGGCTGAAGAAGGTGAAGGATGAGAAGAAGGCCAAGAAGGCAGAGGTGACAACCAAGCAGGCCAAGGCCGCTACCAAGGCGGCTGCTCCACGCGCTTCAGGGCCGAAGGGTGGCAAGGGTGCAAGCGGTGGTGGTGGCGGCAAGCGATGAACCACGCATGTACTGAAGTTAATCTGAGAGATGTACGCTTGCTTTATAAGCTTCTTCAGGCCTGCGCATGTATGGAGCAATGCGTGAATATGCCGTGAATTACAGTCCAGCTCCATGTTCTGTTATTGAAAGGTACGGGAATGCAAGAACAGCCCCACATGCAGAAGCTCAGAACAATCTAGGTTGACATTTTCATAACAGGTAGCAATGTTCTGTATTGTTTTGAAGATACTAGCTTTGAAAGTCTGTACAAGGTTATCCTGTTTGAAATCACATCGTTTTGGCGAACTCGCGAAGATTTCACGACTTTGACACTGGCGACCTGTAACTTTCTGGAGTAACTAGGGTTTGCGAAATACGTGCCCAGCCGGTCCAACGTCGTCAGTCGGCTGCGGTGGCCTACCACCACGTGCAAGCTCTTTCCTCCCCTTCTTGCACCCAGCCATCCGACCGAACCTCCTTTCCCCGCGCTCTCTTTGAATGCGCCTCCCACGTACTGATCGGCTCCTTTTCCTCGATACCTTTCCCTCCCTCCTAGCTTAGTCGCCTCGCTCCACCACGCCGCCACCATGGTAGGTCCGCTGCAGGTCACGCCGTTTCTAACGCATTCCCTGTGCTAGCAGATGCTAGATGCTGCGCGACTCGTCGGTTTTTTTTTTTAGCGTTTGAAGTTACCAGAGCAGGCATCGCTAATTTCTAATAGTAGAACGGGTCCATGTGTGTCATGTTATGCGTGCGTGTGCATCTGGTTCGTGCGGGTGCATATGCTGCGTGCGTGTGCATGGTTCGTGCGTGTGCATGTTGCGTGCGTGTGCATGTCGCATGCGTGTACGTGTTGCGTGCATGAGCATGTTGCGTGCGTGTGCATGTTGCGTGCGCGTGCTTGTTGCGTGGGTGTGCATGTCGCTTGCGTGTGCTTGCTGTGCGTGTGCATGTCGCGTGCGTGTGCATGTCGCGAGCGTGTGCATGTCGCGTGCGTGTGCATGTTCTGCGTGCATGGGTGCGCTGCGTGCGTGTGCTGCGATGGTCGGTAGGCGCTCGTAGCGAACGAGGGGTTTCAGCACATTCTGCGCGTGCTCAACACCAACGTGGACGGCCGGACCAAGATCATGTACGCGCTCACCTCCATCCGCGGTATTGGCCGCCGCTTCGCTAACATCGTCTGCAAGAAGGCGGATGTCGACCTCAACAAGCGGTATGCCCCGCTCTCCCTCTCGTCGCTCTCGTCGCACTCGTCGCTCTCTATGGCCCCCTCTCTCCCGCCGTTCTTTACGTTGTACCGCATCCCACCATTCACCACGTCCCATCACCCTCATTCGCCGCGCCCCATCACCCGCGTCCTCGTGCGCGCCGTATCCCCTGCAATTTGCTGCTCCTCTCGTTTCTCCGTCGTGTCTGATGCGTCGCCTGTCGTTCCTCGCCTGATCGTTTCTTCAAATTTATGACTGCCCGGTGCTGCCTGCAGCTTCACGCGGGTAACCCTTGCTCGATTGCAAATTCGCATTGCTGCTACCATGTTTGCGCGACCAATCACGGCAGTATCATGGGTGCCAGGCCAGAATGTTAGCCGTATTGGGTTGCACGCGCACGCTCACCGCCCTTGCAGTGTCGCACCGTGTCACACCATGCGATACCATTTTCAGTATGGACGGCCAAACATCACCACTCTTTTGTAGCGGTATTTCGAATTTAGGGTTTCATCACCATCCGCCTGCCTGGTCCGCTCATGCGCACGCGTCCCTTCCCCCACTCTTCCCTCTCCCCTTTGCGCGTGCGTGTGCGCGTGCGTGTGCGGCGGGTGCGCGGGGGGCTGGCAGGGCGGGCGAGCTGTCGGCAGCGGAGCTGGAGAATCTGATGGTGATAGTGGGCAACCCGCGGCAGTTCAAGATCCCCGACTGGTTCCTGAACAGGCAAAAGGACTACAAGGACGGCCGCTACTCGCAGGTCGTGTCCAACGGACTCGACATGAAGATGCGCGACGACCTCGAGCGCCTCAAGAAGATCAGGTCCGTCCATTGCGCTGATCCACTTAGGCGCCTCACATGTTGCTCCGCTAGGCCAGTCATCAGGATTACCACGATTATGAACACCATCATCAACACCATGGTCATCAACACCATGGTCATCAACACCATGGTCATCAACACCATGGTCATCAACACCATGGTCATCAACACCATCATCCACATGATCATCTCGTTTCGTGCTCCATCATCACGTTAGGGGTGGCATGGAGGACCGGGTGGGATGTGTAGAGGGCGGTTGAGGTGGCAGGGGTGGTGGGGTGAGTGAAATTACTGCTCAATTGTCCCCTGCTGCCCTGATGCCCTGATGATGATTGACCTTGTCTTCACCTGACAAGACTGAATTTGCGTGTGTGGGATTAAATCCTGTTTCTCGCTGCTGTGCGTTCCCTGCCCTGCCTGTGGCGGCCCTCCACTCGCCCTCCCATGGCATTACTGCATTCCTGCATTCCCTCCCTGCAGGAATCACCGTGGGCTGCGACACTACTGGGGCCTGCGTGTGCGTGGGCAGCACACCAAGACCACTGGTCGCCGTGGCCGGACTGTTGGTGTGTCCAAGAAGCGATAGACAGCATCTTTGCACTTTGCCTTCGTATGGGAATATGTTGCTTACAGGCTTGGATGTAATGCATTGTGTAATGAGTGATAGCAATATTGGCTAGTGCTTTGATCAACTGCACCATTCATTGTTACCATCACTGATAAGCCAAAACTTTTGAAATGCTATTGATCGGTGGTGTCTGTGCGATATACCCGTGTATCTGTATTAATCTATTAAATTAAGGTCATGTCCCTACAGGCTCACAAATGAAAGGACAGGTGATTGATTATAGACACCCATTCTTTATAGATAACCCTTTCTTTCAGTTGAAGTATTTTTGTGATTCGTTTTTCATCTATTTCACTCTCTTGCTTCTATAGCGAGTTGTCATTTGACTTGGTGACGTGCCACGACTCACCAAGACTTATGGCCAGGAGTGTTCGAAACTCATGTTTCGATTCAGCACTAATCAATGACTGCCGCGTCGGCGATTTTGTTCCTCGCGCCAAAGCCCAGACTGCTGAAGCAAGTTCGGCCTTTTTGGTTCTGCCTGATTGGTTTCCAAAACAGGGGGCACCAGCAAAAATGTCGAACTACTCTCCGCCTCCCTCAACCTCGGAATTACAGCTTCCTCACCCTCTGCTATGGTGCCGCGTCAGCCTGCATGCCAGGACCATCGTCCTCTGGCTACTGCTTTCTCAGGTTTGTATTGCGGTAGGTGAGTCCAGCTTTTTCTTTGGTGGTTTTGTTACGCGTGCTTTCTGGTCGTCTTTTGCTTCGGTGTTGGTGGTGTTCTTGCAGGTTAGGTCCTCCTTGCTCCGTGTGATTTGGCTGGCTTGTGCTCGGTTCTGCAGGTTTTTGATACTCCACTTGGTTGAAACATACGCGTGGGATCTTTTCCCTCCTTACCGATCTGTTCTCCTGGCAGCGTTCCAGCTGATTGGCTGTGGGCTGCTCAAGCTCGCTTCGCTCAATGGTGGTTTCCACATCCGATTCTACAACCATGGTAGGTGGACTTTGGTTCCTCTGCAACTGGTCCTTGGGACGTTTGCTGCCTCCCTGCTCCTCGCTTCACTGCCTCTCTGGAGGTTTTACGGCCTCTGGAAAACCCTTCATGACAAGCTCTGGTCTCTCCACGACTGTTCTAAGCCATGCACGCCTGTTAAGGCGACACGTTGTGCTGTGATTACGCGTCCTCCTGCTGTTTCCCTCCATGCACACTTCGCGACTCCGTTATTCCTCGCTGGATCCTCGCTGGTTACCGTGTGCCGAGGCCATTGCCAAAGCCACAATTTGTTCGCCCGTGATTTTGGAACATTTTACGGCCTTGTTTGGTCGCGGCTTGGTGCACTTGCTCTCTTTCCTCTCCGCCGTCGAAGCGCGTTCTTTTGCTACAAATCTTCGTACCATGACGTTTCCTCCTTACCACCTGGCGCAATGGGTTCCCAGCACAAACCGACGAGCTTATGGGCGAGGAGGAGCTTGACGCCTCCTTCTCGGTCGACTCCTTTTTCGTCGAGGAAGCGGTCATGCCTGCTGTCTCTGCTCCTCCCCCCGCTAAGCGCGTCTGTGCTGCTGGTTCTTCCAGCTCTGCGCCTGTGGCTCCCCCTGCGGCTCCGGTGGTGCCGCCTGTCACCCCGGTGATGGCTCCCGTGGCTGGACCTTCCACGGCAACGCCTGCTCCTTCGGCGTCTACCCAGGAAGCTAACCCTGTGATCGCCCTCGCTATTACCGGTCGTTACTCACGACTTCGTCGTAACCGTGACTCTGTGGGAGTTGTTGTCGCGGCGCTCGTCCGCGATACTGACGCTGTTGTTGTTCTTCTCTTTCCTGAGTCCCTGGAAGCTCATCGCAGCCGGATCATCACCCGCGTCCGCAGTATCCTCCGCGGCCGTGACTTTGCTGGGGGCCGCGTTCCCGTGTTCGAAGCCTCTGCTGGCGACCTCCTGCGCCTTCCCCGCAAATCGTACTGCCGTCACACGATTCAGTGGCCGACGGTTGACGACGCGAATCGCTTCAAGCGCATGCTCCCGATCACTTACCGCTCGTCTGAGGGGCCAACGGCCAAAATCAAGGTGTTCCTGGATCCTGCCCCCGACTTCTCAGCGGCCAAAGCACGCGGCGAGACGGTCCTGGTTCTGCGCAACGTGCCCGTTGGGTTTGCTGTCCGCACACTCCACGCTCTACTGATGTCTAGCTCTACGGATGGGGTCCGTTGGCTTGGTGACTTGCTTTCTTTCCACAAGCTTTTCGATCCCTATGAGGAATCATTCCTCCCCAAGATGCTTGGCATCGCTGTTGCCTCCCCTAACGATCCCCTTTTTGAGGCAATTCCAGCCGTCATCTGAGTTCCTGGAGTTCAGGAACCAATCCTGGTGAACATCTCTTCGCACGCATGTGCTGTGTGCACTAGCAACCATCGAACGCGCGATCACAGCAGCTTCGCGGCAATAAGGAGGAACCGCATTGCTAATCCTTTCCTCATCACCTTGGGGCAGCTCCAGAACGTTAATGGTAACTACGTCCACGCATGTTCCACACAGGCCTCTTGCTCGTTCCATTGTTCCCTCGTATTAACCTTTCCGAGTATTTCCTCCCCCGCGTGCTCTGGGTTCCGGTCGCTACTAGCTTGCCGTTGTTATCATTGGGCTCTCTTGCTCATTGTTCTGCTCTGGCTATTACTCTTTTCTCCCTGGTTTTTGTTCCGGTCGTGGGCTGCTGTTCTTTCCCCCACGGTTCTCCATGCCTCTTACAGCCAGGATCATTGGCCAGCACCCTGCAGTGGCCTCTTTCAAAGCCGATCCCGGCACCTTCTTCATCGGGACCGATCTCGAGGTGGAAGTTTGGTCTTGCGCCCTGTGCTCCTTCTGCTGTGGCTGGGCACTGGACAGTGCGATGGAGCATATCGCCAGCCCCGGCCACACAAATGCTCTTCAGCTGGCCTCTGGCAACATCTCGTCCCTGGAAGAATATGGGGATGTGAAAGCCCATGTTTTCAATCAGAACGGCTCGATCGCCACCTTCCTCGCTCAGGGATAGGAGGCCTCCATGGGTGGAGGTGCTGTGTGCACTGCCTGTACTCCTATAATCTTGAACTGTTGTTTCCGCAGATGTTGTCTATACATTACGGTTGGTGTCCGTGTGCCAGTCACCAAGGTGTGGTTGCTCCGCCGGTGCCTTCTAAAGGTGCCTCCTTTTCCTGCCCCTGTGGATGTGTGCTTCTAGGAGCACATGGGGCCATTCTATATAATCAATAATGGATATACACCTCAAATTACAATGCATAAATGTCAACGGCCTTAACTCGCCTCAAAAACTTGATGTTCTGCGTTCTTGGTTCACAAGGAATCCTGTTGACGTTCTTGTGCTTACTGACACCCGTCTAACATCCAATTTTTCTCTTCTTCTTTTCAAATTAAAACCTAAAGCTTATGCTCAAGTGCCCCCTCGTATCTCCTCTTCCTCACTGGCTAAACCTGGCGGTATTGCTGTTTTATTTTTTCATCCGAGTGTATCCATATCCACCAGAACATCCTCTGGTGATGGAAGATGTTTAGACCTTCACTGCAACTTCCTACACGAACAATTCCGGCTTTTAGCCATCTACGCCCCTTACAACTACCTTGACAGGCGTGCATGGTGGACCAACACGGTGGCGCACTACCTAGAGCAACCTTCCGCTAGTTCTGGAACCATCCTCACCGGCGATTTCAATGCCGTGGTGTTGCCGATTGACAGGAATAGAGACCTGAAACCAGTGGAGCGCACAGAGGCTGCATTACTAGAGGACTTACTCTCGACCCATTCGCTCATTGACTGCTACCGGCATAAGGCTCCTGACAAGGACATGTACTCCTTCTCCTCCCATCAGAAGGTGGTTTTGTCTGGCTCTGCCCTTTCCGCTCCCCCCCACTCCAGCTCTTCCCAACCGAGTGCTAACTCTCCTGTGTCAGTTCCCTCCTCCTCTCGACTTGACAGAACATATATCTCTGCCCACTGGGCGGATCGTATTCACCATGCGTCCTACACCTCTGTGCCCCCCCCTCTCTCCGATCACAATCGTGGGCCGCTGGTGGCCCTACTGTTTCGGAACCCCAATATGGCCCCACGGCCCTGGCGGCTTCCGCAGTCTCTAATTTACAAACCTTTCGTCTGCACTCTCCTGGAACGGTCTTCTCAGGAACTCCAACCTGGCTTCAGCGTGGAGGAATGGGATCGGTGGAAGAGCAGGCTATGTCGCCAACTTAAATGGTACAGTAAAGAGGAAAAAACCAGGGTAAGGAAGACTATGTCATTTCTAAGTGACGAAGTCTGTTTTTTGCAGCTCCACCTTCTTAAACATCCCTCCGACCAACAGGGCGCCGCTCGGCTCTCCCTCCTCTCTTCCAGCCTAGATTCCTACGAGCTCTCTCGTGCTTCCGAAATCGCGCTTAAGGCGAAGCTCAAGGTTGAAGGCTCCAGAGAGAGATGGGGGTTTCCTCTCTTCTCGTCGGCCTTCAGGGTCGCATCAGAGACTCTCTCATTCCACACCTCAAAACCCCCTCAGGAGAAACTGTCTCTGACCTGCAGGGTATGTCCAAGCACTGTACCGAATACTTCTCCACTCTTTACAACGGTCTCTCTTCAGTATCTCGTGACCCCTCATTTTGGACTCAAATACGCACCTCTGTTCTTCCTCCCTCCTGCTCTGCCCGGCTGGATCTTCCCTTTTCACTGGCAGAAATTGACTCTGCTCTTGGTCGGCTTTCCAGGGGCAAAACCCCAGGGCCCGATGGACTCCCTGGGGAGTTGTTTCGCTCCTACAAAAGTTTATTCGCTCCTCTGTTTCTCACTCTTTGCACCTCAATTTCATCCCAAGGGGTGATTCCGCACTCTATGACAACAGGCAGGACTGTTCTCATTCCCAAACGTGGCAACAAGGAACTAGTTTCAAATCTGCGGCCCATTACTTTAATGAATTGCAGATTACAAAGTCCTTGCCCTTGTCCTTGCCAACCGTTTACAGGCGATTCTTCCCAAAATCATTAACCCGGCGCAAGCGGCGTTCATCAAAGGTCGCCGTATCGGTGACACTATCAACGACACGTTGGACCTTATGGAATGGGCACTCGCTCAAGGCAACCCGCTCCTTGTGCTTACTGTGGATATCAGGAAAGCTTACGACATGGTAGATAGGCAATTCTTCTATACCTGCCTCCATCACCTGGGGATTCCCCCTGGGTTCATTCGGTGGGTTTCCATGCTCCACTCTAACACCTCTACCAGGGTTTCTGTCAACAACTGCTCTGGTCCCCTCTTTCCCGTGCGTTCTGGCGTGCGGCAGGGCTGTCCCTTAGCCCCCCTCCTGTTCGTGTGTGTAATTGAGGTCATGCAGAGGTATCTACAATCTTTCCTCCCCGGATACGCTTTTACCCAAACCCAACGCCGGCTTGCTGCTTGTTATGCCGACGACGTGTCAATCTTTCTCAATTCTGATTCTGAACTGCAGGTCACCACGCAGGCACTCAGTAACTTCGCTGCCATGTCTGGGGAACACCCGAACTGGGAAAAATGCTCTATCATCCCCATCAACATGCACTCCACCCCGTTGATCCACACATGTTCAATTCCGGTACGAGGCTCCGATGACCCAGAGCGGATCTTGGGGATCTATGTGGAACAAAGTCACCCCGGGGCTACCACTTGGGACAATATCATCCTTCGTGTTCGGGGCTCCACCAAGTGGCTGGCTCAATTTAAAGCCACTACCACATGCCGGTCCCTCTTATCCACTGAGAGACTGGCCTCCCTTTATGCTTTTGGTGCCAGGTTTCAACCCCCCCCCTCCCTCATACTCACCATGCTCGACCGCGTTATTGGCATTTTTCTTTCCAACTCCCGCTACAAGGAACATGGGCTTGCTACTAGGCTCATCCCCAAACGGATTCTCTACAACAAGAAGAAACATGGCGGCGTCGGAGCTCTGGAACCTTCGGCGCACATTCGGGCACTAACCATCCAACGGGCTGTAAGGAGGTTCCAAGCTTCTCCTTATGAAGATGTTGCTCACTCCTGTGTGCCTGTGCCTTATGGCCTGCACTGTTACCTCTCTCACCCGTCCATTGTCAAATTTCTTCCCCCCCAGGTTCCGGCCAGGTTCCGCACTGAATTAGAAGCTATATTACCCTTACCATCGGAGGTGAAGCCTCCTCGTCTGGTACCATGGAGCCTCATGGCGGAACCCGTCGCCTTTAACAGGTTCATTTGCAAGGAACCAAATGTTCCATTCGGCCTTTTGAAAAATGAGTTGTTTTTGCTTAACGATCAAATTCGCTTCGGGAATCTCCTCATACCCACCCGTACAGGCGCGAGACGTATGGAAGAGGACGAATTTTTTGAAAAATCTCCCCCCTCCGTTTTCCCCGGCAGCAGGACACTCATTCTCAGTATCTTCGAAGCCATACCTCTCAGTTGGTGGGCTACAATAAGGAGGTTCTCCCCGAGCCGAAGCTACCTGGCTGTCGATGATTGGGTCCTGGAGGCGAAAAAGACTTACCTTCCTAGCAAGATCTTTCGTGTGTCCGTCCTTCTACCAGATTTCAAAGCTCTCGTCAATGTTTTCAGTGTGCATCAAGGGAGACAGGTAGCAACCGTGTGCGAAGGCAGTCGCACCTTTTCATTCAAGGAAGTCATTCCTGTTCACGTCAAGGGACGATGGCTGGCAGGCCCGTTCGATCACGGCCCTGCCCTCGGCTTTCGTCACGAACTCCTCGCTGGAACTCCCTCGCTTGCGGATATCGGGAACCTACTCTACCAGCCCCTTCCGCTTAATCACCTGGAACGATGGAACGCCATCGTACGGGATCCCATTCCCTTTCTTCCAGATTACCATCATTCGTTCCTCAAGGACCAACCTTCCAGACATCGCGATGTTCTCTTTCGACTCTTCACCCTCACGCTGCCTTCTGGATCTAGATACCGCTTTACTACGACCGGTGGCGCCTGCCCTCGGTGTGGCCCCCCCTGGATCGAAGATCTTCCTCACATGTTCTTCGATTGCGGACAGGCGCCTGCGGTAGTCGAAGCTATACAACGTGTGGCTAATCGACATCTTCGCGCATCTGTCGAGCCTGCTGCAGTTTTCTTTCCGTTGGCGCACTCCTCCAGCCTCATTGCGCCATGGTGTCTACTCGTTGGTGCGGCTGCCTCAATCCTCTGGAGAGATCGCTGTTCCTCTCACTACGAGCAGACGGTGTACACACGGCTTGAAACTCTACATCGAATTCTGGCCCTTTTTTTGACTTCTTGTAAAATCTACTTCAGCAGACGTGCCAAATGGTCGGACAAAAAAAGGCGCGCCTCGAAAAATCGCCTCAACGCTGCTATCGCACTTCAGCTCCTCACCTTTGGGACTGATGGCACTCCGCAACTTCATCCAGCTCTGCGAGAATCCTGGCTGCTGAACGATTCCTTTCATCCCCCGTAGAAGCTGTTCTGTCCTTAAGCTGTGCAACCCGATAAAGGCTTTGGCCTTCATTTTATCGTCGGTAGGCAAGTAACGCTGTTATAGAGTAGGTCTTTTAGACCTTGGCATTTTGCCATGCTTGTGGTGTTGCACTGTTTGCGGTTACGACCATAATAAAAACCTTAAAACCTTAAAACCTCTGCCTGATTGGTTTCCACCGATTTGGTCTGTCGCGCCATGTCAGATCAGATGTCCTGGAAATGTGGAGATACAGATTTCAAAATCGTCAGAGGTGGGGAAGTCATAGCTGCTCCAAGCCTAGCGTTGACCTTTCACCCGCGTGGGTTCCAAACCTACAAATTAAGACAATACTCTTCAAAGAGTATGCAGAGCAGTCGTCATAGCATTTCAGATCTTATCGTACAGCACACTAGATTGCATATTACAAAGTAAAATAACAAAGAGAAATTAGAGGTATCCAAACTATGTATCAATGAATATAAATCTATATGGGAGGGGGGGGTGGGTTCTAAACTAGATCTAGAAATGATTTTTGGACTAGGTGGCAGGTCCGTAAACCTGCCACAATATAAGGAGCGATAGACTCCTTACTGCATTCTCCTTTACGTGTATTGTCATAATCTTTAAATTTTGAAATTTATTTCATATTTTTTCATATTAAGACAATACTCTTCAAAGAGTATGCAGAGCAGTCGTCATAGGTAACACGAGACATTAGGTACGGGAATGATTTCCTATGAAGGATGCCGTACGCTTCTTAACGGAAGGTAGAGATGTTCCGAAGATAAAAACGACGGGGTGACGAAGTATGAGGCACTAGTAAGAGCTTAGCACGATTTCATATATTGTGCCAAGAATTATGGTGTTGAGTCAGCAGCAGTGAGGGGGGCATCCATCCCGCCAGAGAATCTCGAACCTCTTTTTCCACTTTCGAAGTTGTTGGCCATTGATACGCAAGTATACAGCATGTAACCATGTGGGCGAGACTGACAATATGCCAACAGTGTGCAATAGCACGATGAGATAGGAATGTGATTTCAAGCCTGTGGCAAGCATGTACATGGCTTTTGCAAGATAGGAGTGGTCGTTCGAGTGCACTATTGATGTTAGCACCCAAGTGAGTAAAGTAACTCTGCTCACAAAGGGTGAGGAGATTGAGGAACCCTGAAGATGAGATCGTGCCATTGTCGCACTCCAATGATCAATATCGAATGGGTAGCATGCTATGCAGGTGATTACGCATGACATATAGGCATCTCAACCTTAGATAGCAATAATGCTTCATAATGGGGCATCATACATTTGCATGGGCGTAATACGCATCCCCTTTCCCCCAACCATGAATATAAGGCGGGACCTGTTTCGTTGCATACAGTGACAATAGATGATGTACTATGAACATGTGATATTACGCGCATGATTCACCACGTTGTTTCCATGGCAGTGTGCTCAAGGAGCGGCTGTTAACAGCGTCCATGTGGCGGCTTACATTGTCAGAATCCCAACCACTAGACCATTGGGATAAAAGGGCTTGATAAGTAGCGGGTCAGTGCGTCCATAACCCCCTAGGCCAACGTGCCTGTAACCCTTCCCTAGGATCAATCGGGGATCTCCAGTGGACCTCTGACATACATGTGACAACCTGGTTTGTAAGACGTTGAAAAATGGACTCATCGTGATCTCGCACACCAAGTGCCACAGTGACACTCTCCGTTTAGGTATGCAACTTGATTTGAGCGGATGTTAAACATCTGATCGGAGGATGATCAATTACCATTCCGGTTTCAAATATCCAAATTGGCGACTTGTCTCCTTAACGGAATGTAGATATGGAGTCGTACCATTGAGCATGTATCCACGCATGCTGCTCGAGAGCCCAATATGACAAGAAGAACCTTTGTGACGATTCCGCCGCTAGGCCCGTGCCCACTATAAGAATGTGCCGAAATGCAACCTTTTGCACAGTTATAGGTTGCCAAACATCAGCAATCTCAACGTAGAAGCGTCGTTGTATGATTGACAATATAGTAATGGTGAATTAAACGTGTCCCACATTTCCGTGACTGCCGTTACCGCATTTGCAATTGTTAAAATAGGGTAGGAACACAAGTAATTGACCACAACAAGTATGTTGGCCAAGCTGTGCGCGACTGCAACATAGCTAGGGAAGAACTTCATTTTTCTGAACACTTGGTCTCACTCACTCGACCAACAACTTAGAACTTGATTACGCACTTCTGTGAATGCGATCCCTGTGGGATCCCTGTGGGGATGGGTGGTGGTGTGCAGGGGTGCAGGGATGGAGACATGAATCTGTGTGTCACTGCACGCGCACCACCACCACACAATGTGCCTGGTTCTCGCACGTGGTACAGAAGCTGAAGGTAAAGAGTTTGAAGCATGTTGATATGCGAAACGTATACACTGGTGTTGCCAGGAGATTGAGAGAGAGTGGGATCTGACGGCAAGTCCTGAAGCCCGCAAGGCTCACATGACCTGAAGGTTGGTCAAGTTGCCGATGCTCTCCTCCAGCAAGGGTCCCGTCAGCGGATTGGCTCCTGTGTTGCTGACGTGGCAGCATGCCATGCATTGGTTGCAGGAGCGAATGGGGAGAGGAACGTGGGGGAGCGGGTAGAGGGAGAGGGGGAAAAACATTTGAGAGTGTGACGAAGCTGCGGAAGGAATGGCATTGAGATGTTGACTCCTCTGCATGTGTGCTACAGCCTACAGGCATGTGGGGCCGTGGTGCATGGCACAAAGAGCATGTGGTGTGCTGGGTGGTGTGTACAGGACAGTGAGCAGCGAGAGATCCCCAATGGCTGCAGGATTGGAGCCGTTGTACTCAAGAGACCTGCCATGGGTAGTGGATGAGGGGACCAGACCAGGGATTCAAAGCAGCGGATGAGTGGCAGCGAATCGAGCGGGTAAGCGATGTGTGCATAGGATGTATATGCTCAATGGGGTGGGGTGACTAGTGGGTGCGAGTGCTGCCAGGATGCCCCATACACACAAGTGCTGTCACCCCCCTGGCCTGGCGGTTGTTGCTTCTACTGTGCGTAGAACGCCTTCTGCACTTTCTTACAACCAACTTGCACGTGTAAGTGCACATGGCAAGAAGCAACAGCGAGTCCTTCCTAACCGGACCCAGGCATGTGTGCAGACTGAGCGCAGCGATGAGTGTGAGCAGCAGGGAATGGCATACAGGTGCGAAAGGGAGCTCACTCACGGTGTTGGTAGGAGCTCACAGTGTTGTGAGAGAGGTCATGTTGGCCATGTCTAAGAGTGTCCCTGCTATTTCGTTGATCCATAAGACCCTGCAGACGAGAGGACGACAGAGAGGGGGGATGTGGTACAGGTGTGAGTGGGTGGCGGGCAGGAGAGGGTGAAGGAGTGAGGAGCAGGGGACAGGAAGTAATTAACAAAGCACAACAGAGCACAAGGGAGCGGCGAGTGTGTGCAGAAGTGACAGGTCGACAAGGTTGGAAAGGGATGCGAGGGTGGAAGGCAAAGACCCAGTGAGCTTGTTCTGACTTATGTTGCTGCACGCACACACACACACACACACACACACACACACACACACACACACACACACATACACACACACACACACACACACACACATGCACACACGCACATGCCCTCCAAGGATAGGATGAGAGAGCAGGACCTTTAGTGAACATGCAGAATGGACGCATGATATGAAGGATGGGCGCATGATGTGGAGGAGGGCAGGAGTAAATGGTGGTAAGAGGGATGTGGGTGCAAAAGCACACCGTGCCAGCTGGCAGTTTATGCATGTGTGTGCCGCTGGTTCATATTCAGCAACACAGGAACACGACGAAATAAGGAGGAGGAAGCGACGGACAGAGAGAGGTTGTGTTGGAGCGTGCACGAACAAGTGAGTGAGAGAGGAGGCGACGGCAGCGAGGGAGGCAGGGATGGATGGAGCCGTTGCGGATGAGGCAGGCAGGCAGGTGGCATGGCGGGGAGAAAGGAAGGAAAGTGGAGAGAGGGTGATTGGTGCGGTACATCATACCATACATGGCAGCAAGAGAAGCAGGGGGCGGTGCAGGGAGCACGGGGACGACAAGAGCGGTGGAAGTCACGGGTAAGGGTGGTGGCTGGCAGGTGCAGGAGGCAAGAGGGAGTGGGGTGTGAGGGCACTGACAGCTGCTCGAGATTGGTGAGTTGACTGAAGGTGTTGGGGATGGTGCCTTGCAGTGAGTTCCCGCTGAGTACACTGGCAGGGCGGGGCGGGTAGGAAAGAGGAAGGGGGAGCGCATGGCATGAGCACGATTGGGGTGAGGGAGCAGTACAATGCAAACGATGGTGCAATGGATGTAGTGAGTATGACGATGGATTTACGGCCGCGCATGTTGCAGCAGGCCAAGGTGTGTGTGCGAGCAGCAGGGGGTGCGTACAGTCGCTCAAGAGTGCTTATGCTGCCCAAGGGAGTCAGAAATGCTGCCATTCAGCTGCCTGTTGTTGCCCACCGCTCTGCACGGCACCACACCACACAGCACACAGAGTGCAGCACAGAACTCTGTTTTAACCGTAACATCCATCACAGGGTGCACACGAGAGTCGTATTGCACAGGGATCCGGAGGCAGTGCACACGTTTTTCAAGAGAGTTGTGCAGCATGTGTGGCGACATACGCAGACGTGCAGTGGGGTGAGCACTCACAGGTCAACCAGGGCGGAGAGTCCACCCAGAGTGGAGGGCAGGGAGGACGACAGAAAGCTGCTCTGCAGGTAGCTGCAAGGCAGGGGAGTGAGAGGCCGCAACAGCAGCCATGCCAGCCAGGTGCGGTGGGTGTGACACCATGTGACATGGATGGGGAAGTTATTGTGAAACGGGGGGGTCAACAACAAGAGGGTGCGGTGTGGCTTAATGCAGAGGTGGAGGAGGGAGTGGTTGTGTGGAGTGGAGTGGTGCTGGGGGGATGCGGAGAGGTGGGTGGGGAGTGGGGGTGGGTGGTGGCCTCACAGGTGCTTGAGAGACGTCATTGAGCCCATGGTAGCTGGTATGGACCCGTTCAGCTTCTTGCTCGATAGGTTGCTGCGGTGAGAAGCAAGAGAGGATGGGAAATGAGAGGAGTGGAGAAGGGGGGCGTGTGAAGGAGGACACAACAGCTTGAATCAGGGCATGCGCGCAGCATATTGCAGGCACATGGCTAATGTCCCTCCCTGATTGTCCAGTGTGGCTCACAGGACAGTGAGGTTAGCCATGCGCCCGGAATGCGCCTGGCACACAGCATGGGTGGGCCAAGGCATGGATCATGGAGAGCCATGGAGAACAAAGAGGTCATGACACAGGGTGAGCACAGGAGTGGGAAGGGGAGCGTATGACACAGGGTGCCACCACCACCCGCCTGCCACGCTCCCTCTGCTGCTCCTGCCTGCTGCACCTCCGCACGTAATGCTGGCATTGCTGCTGCCGATGCCTCTTCCCTGCCCCCCGGCCGGCCCCCCTCCCCCGCTGCGCCCACCTGCTGCTAATGAGCCTGCTCCACCTGCTCTTGCCCTTGCCTTGGCCTCTGCACCTCGTCGCTCTCCCTCCCTGACCCCGGTGCCGTCACCGCATGTGTGCTTCTCGCCTGCCCGTACGCCGTGTGAGCACCCACCAGCCGCCCTCTCATCCACAGCCTTTCCAGCCCCCCACCACTCTGCGCCGCCTGCCCCTTCCTACCTCCGCCACCTCGCTCTTCCCCACGTGGCCGCCCCCCCTCGCGCATTACCCGCACTGCTCCCCCAGTCGGCGCCCACGAAGCATGAGCGCGCGGAGTAGGGTGGGGCGCTGCTAATGGCGGGGGGCGCGCGCGGGGCGAGGAGGTGCCGCGCGGACAGGTACGTAGTTTGGGGGAAGGGGCGCGCGGGGACTGGCGGGCAGCGAGGCATGAGAGCGGGCGACAGGCGTGCTTCTCGAGGCGCGCGGCGTGGTGGGCAGTGCGGGCAGCAGCGGCCGGAGCAGGCGCGGCAGTGGAAAGGCTGCGCGCGACGCTGCGAGGGGCGGGTGACGGCGAGGCGGGCCAAGGCGAGGGGGCGGGGGGCATTGCCATGCCGCACGGGGAGAGAGCGGGGGGCAGGGCGTTGCAGAGCGGTGGCAGGGGGGCGGCGCAGTGGATGGCGAGGGGCGGGAAGGCGGCGAGGAAAGAGCGCGCGGGGAGGCGAAGAGTAGGAGGTTGACGGAGCAGTAGGGAGGTGGAGTGCGCGTAGAGTGGGGCCCTGCCCTGCCAGCCGCGCGCCTCATCGACCTCGCTGAGCCCGCGCTCCGCTGCCTGATCTGCCCCACATGGCCCAACCGCTGCCCTGCTCCTATCGCGGCGAAAGTTCACAACCGCCTTGGGAAAGAAGGGTGGGAAAGGCGCGCGATCCGCGAGGAACTGGGAACTTGTTGCAGTGCCTGTTGGAGCTGAGATTGTGTTGGCCAGAAGGTAGCTCGATTCAGACGTCGATATAAAATCTCAAATTTGATCCTTTATCTGATCGATATATATACATATATATATATTTGGCTGTCATTAACACGACGAGATAAGCTGAAATATCCATGCATGGAATAGTTAGTTTGACGCTTGTCTAATGCTTATAAAAATCTCCCCAACAAGATCCAATTTGGGTAATAATTTAAATTATATGTGTTGGAAAGCTGCAATGGTATTCTATATTAAACGACATGTATTTCAGTTACAAGTTATTCGAAATGTGGCTTTCCCCACTTCGAAGCCCCTTCCACGCAGCCCGTTACTGGTACCTCCAGACACAAGCTTGGCGCGCCTCACGCTATTGCCCTCCCCCTCAGTTTGGGTCGCGACGCACTCTAGGGAATGCTTGAATGCAAGATCTAGGAATCAATGTCACTGCTCATGAGACTCGTGGTTCTCATCGCGTGGTCTTCGTTTCGTTCATCCCACGACCTGCACGCGAAAATATCGAGCCAGCGGCAGATATAGACAGGTTCATCTCAACGCAAGCTCGCTGGGAGCTCGCTGCCCGCGGGCAAAAAAAATAAAACCCTATCGGGCATGCATCCGGTCAGGGAGGCATCAACCCTAAACACCTTGTCGCATGGTGTTTAGGGTTGATGCCTCCCTCGGATGCCATGCCATCCGACAGGGTTTTAGTTTTTTCTGCCCGCCGGTCAGGGCGTCGCTCGTCGACGGGCCCGTCGACGAGCGACGCCCGAATCCGTTGAGACATACAGAACGAACACGGCCCATCCTTCCATTTTCCTTGGATCACCTTGTCCTCTCGTCTTCTTCCATTTCTCCACTGAGCCGATTGCACAAGGGATTTACGACTACGCCCCTGCACTGCTGCAAACCGTGTTAGTTTTCTCCAATCGTTTTTCTTATCCGCAGTGTCGCTTGCCGTTCCTTAGCGCGTGCTAGATCCGCCGTTGTTACTGGTATTTCGAATCTCCAGTATGGAGACTAGCACGAACATTAGTAGTCTGCCGGACTGCCTCCTCCTTGACATCCTCAGGCGCTCCTGCAAGCAGCCCGGCGCGCCATGCACGCCGTATATTGACAGCCGCGTGTGGGAGCCCATATCCGCCGCATGGACATTCTTGAATGATCATCAAGAGCAAGGCTTTCTGATAGCCAAGACGCCAGTAGCATCCCCTCCTCCTCTCGCAGACGTCGCTCAGAATCTCCTCGTCGCCTCCGTCTGCTGCCGTTGGCGTCGCCTGATAAAGCTTCACGTGACGACTCTCTCCGTTGAATCAGACCTCGTCGTGTCCTGCGATCATCTATCAGTCGCCGTCGCGCGCTTTACGAACCTCACGTATCTCCATCTGGGTGAAAGCAGCTTTGAGTCGCTCGACGATGCCTTCCTCGCTCACCTCGCATCTTCATGCCCAAGACTGACGGCTCTCCACGTGGGAAGGAGCTGGCGAGTGGCCGATGAGCGTGCTTACCTGGTGGGAGGGGGTTTGCGATTGCTCGATGAGTGTGGTTACCTGGTGAGGCATGATTGCACAGAGGAGGAGCATCGGATCACTACAGGCGGCTTGGATGGGTTTTTTCAAGAGCTTCCCAGATTGGAGCAAGTTACCCTGTTCTGCCTCCATAAGAATACAAAGCTACCGGATTCGCTTTTCCAGCTGAAGCATCTGCACACCCTTGTGCTCACCAACGCTTCAACCGTGGAAAAGCCCGGATTTGCAAGTCTCACTGCTCTTACCACTCTGTACATCACCTTCCCCTGGAACCAATACCACCTATCCACCCTTCTTCACCTCCCAAGACTCACCCATCTGTACACCCTCGCGCCTCACAAAACCCATCAGCTTCTTGGTGCTGCAAGCGCGATTCAGACAACCTGCCTGAAATTGCTCAATTTTATCGTGTCTTGTCCCGACTTTGACACCATCTTCCCATCAGCATCCCCCTTCACTGGGCTAGAGGAGCTTTTGATCACTCGTTGCAGCGAGCTAAAGACCCTTCCTGACCACATCGGAGACTTGCTGCCATGCCTTCGCATGTTGTCCATTCGCGAGTGTCATAGTTTTACTCACCTGCCTGCAAACTTCACTTCCCTGAGCCGTCTGGAAGAGCTCGTTATCTGGTCATGTCTTCCTTACTTCACTTTACCCAGCAACTTCGGTTACCTGCCTGCCATCAGAGTACTGGTGCTGTTTGAGTTTAATTCCAGCGACCTCCCTCCTTCCTTCTGTCACCTCACGTGTCTCGAGGCACTCGTTTTGGATTGTTGCAAAGCGCTTGAGAAGCTGCCAGCAGATTTCTGCCGCTTGACAACTCTCAAGACACTCTGCATAGCGAGATCGGAAGAAATTGGCCTGCCAGAGGACGTTGGGGCCCTTGCAAATCTGGAGGCTCTCAAGTTGATAAACTGTCAGGAGGAGCCCCTTCCAGATTCCTTTACCCAGCTATCTTCCCTGACCAGCCTTGAGCTGGAAGGATGCTTTTGTAACTGCGAGCTTCCAGCCCTGGGGTCACTCAACAGCCTCCGGGAGCTGAAGATGGTTAATGTTTTTATCTTCACAATTCCTAGCTCACTGACAAGGCTTACAGCTCTGCAGAATTTGGAGGTGAGGGGCTGCCAGTGGCTCTCCCAGGTGCCCTCTCGGATGGATATGCTGGTGGGGCTGAAGACGCTGGTGCTGGCGAAGTGTAAGGAGCTGAGAAGCCCCCCTGATGCACTGCCGCCCTCCCTTGAGACCCTCTGCTTGGGACCGTTCGTGGAAGGTTGTGACCATGTGGTGGACATCTCCGGGCTGTGGCAGCTGAGGGTGCTGAAGCTGAACCGTGTTGGGGTGCGACGCGGGCCTGCAGTGAGCAGCAGGTTGCCATGCCGGGAGCAGGCGGAGCAGGGGGAGCAGGGGGACCAGGGGGAGCAGGGAGAGCAGGGAGAGCAGGGGGAGCAGGGGGTGCCGGGGGAGCAGGGGGTGCAGGGGGAGCAGGGAGAGCAGGCGGAGCAGGGGGAGCAGGGGGACCAGGGGGTGCAGGGGGAGCATGGGGTGCAGGGGGTGCAGCGGGAGCAGGCGGAGCAGGGGGAGCAGGGGGAGCAGGGGGAGCAGGGGGAGCAGGGGGAGCAGGAGAGCAGGGGGAGCAGGGGGAGCAGGGAGAGCAGGGGGAGCAGGGGGAGCTGGGGGTGCAGGTGCAGAAATCGGAGACGCTGGAGATGCGCTTGGATGATGAAACACTAGAGCTCCCGATCCCCTTGACTTTTCTCCCTCGCCTGCGCAGCTTGGTGATAGATGCGCCTGGAGTCTGTAGCCTCCCGGAAAGCATGTGGGCAGCCACGCCGCAGCTGCGGCAGCTGGAGCTTTGTTCTGAGTCATTGGAGGAGCTGCCAGAAAGCATTGGAGAGCTTCATTCTCTGACGTCACTCACGATTGAAGCGCCTCAGCTGGTGGCGCTACCTCAAGGCATGACCTGCTTGTCTCGGCTGCGCATATTGGAGCTGAAATGCTGCAGCGCCTTGCGGCAGCACCCACAGAGGCTTTTCCACCAACTCGCCTGCCTGCAGCAGCTGATATTTGATGAAGATCTGCCGCTGGCATGAATTATGTAACACGCACATGGAGACCATCTTTGATGCAGGAACAACAGTGTGCTCTTATCCTGCTTGCAATGCCTCAGTGGTGGATAGGGTAAGTTGGGTTGAACGGGAGATGGATGAGTGAGCATAGGTCAGTTGTGCGCTCTGCAAGCTTTCTCGTCTTGCATTGACGTGTTTTGTTACTTGATTCAACAGAAAGGTGACATGCTAACTTCCATTGCATGCTGTGTTTAGAGAAAGTCGCTCGATCGATTGGGAACAAAAATTCAGGCTCTGGTATGGTATAAAGTGTGTGCTTGTTTGCTTCACGGCTGCCCCATTTGCCAAAGATGTTGGCATATATACATCACTGAAGAGCAGCCCACAAGGATAGGACGCCTTGTCATGTCAACCTGCTGTAGTACGAACGAGATGAAAGCCCATTGCAAAATTACCAACTGCTTGCACATCATCACCATCACCCAGTTAGGTACATACAGATGGGTCACGTTCTGGGGTGATACGGTACACTTTAATCCATGTTTTGATACCGTACAAGCCATGCTTCTGAGAGCACTGATACTGCATTACTCTTTATTTGGAGACATTCATAACGACGTACGGTATATGTGTCTGAAACCCAACCACCAGGGGGCAGTGGCAAGCGAGTGCGTGCCATAATCTGTCTGTGAATACGGACCAACAGACACGTCAGCAGCATGGGTGAGCTAGCGGCAGCGGTTGCCAGAACGACAGCCCTGAATGCGCGGGGCAGACACCGTTTACACACCTGCTATGCAAGGGAGGAGAAGTGGGACGAGAGTAACATAATAAGCAGGAATACACTGGAGATGGGTAGAGTGTGAGAAGACAAGCAGCAGTGCAGCTACAAGCAGCAGTGCAGCTACAAGCAGCAGTGCAGCTACAAGCAGCAGTGCGGCGGAGAGCAGGAAAGTCGTGGGCGAGGTGGGAGTGCGTGCGAGAGTGAGGAGCGTTGCTGGGAAGATAGGGAGAGAGAGATGCGGGAAGTGCAAATGGGGAGAGAGGCAGCAAGGTCAACTATCTCCTTCTCTCTCATCTCGTCCATTGCGCCCGTTCCCTCCCCCAGCCACTCATCCACCACACCTGTTGGGCACCATGGGTGGGTCGATCCGGCTTCTGCTATGCTCTCTCTCTCTCTCACCTGTGCGCCCCTCAATGCACCTAAGCACCTTGTCACGCCCTTGTTGATGAACCATGCACCATGCATGGCCTGCTGCACCATGCATGGCCTGCTGCACTGCTCGCTGCCCCACTCACCTGGGTCCCAACCTAGTCATGTCATGGCACCCACGGGCCATGTGTCTTCCCTTTCGCCCGTGTGCCATCTCTCACCTGAGTGCCGTGCCGCACATGAATATGAACCCCCTTGCAGTGATTGCTGATAAAGGAAACGTCATCGATGGCTTGCTGGGAGCTCGACCCTGCCAGCACCGCCCTCAGCTCCGCCCCCAGCCGGTCGTTCAGCTCAGCTCCTGCCAGTCAGAGTGACATGGTGACAGGGGGAGGCATGGTGACAGGGGGAGGCATGGTGACAGGGGGAGGCATGGTGACAGGGGGAGGCATGGTGACAGGGGAAGGCATGGTGACAGGGGGAGGCATGGTGACAGGGGAAGGCATGGTGACAGGGGGAGGCATGGTGACAGGGGAAGGCATGGTGACAGGGGGAGGCATGGTGACAGGGGAAGGCATGGTGACAGGGGGAGGCATGGTGACAGGGGGAGGCATGGTGACAGGGGGAGGCATGGTGACAGAGGGAGGCATGGTGACAGGGGGAGGCACCATGACAACTGCTCATTGCTCGATCCTCCCAGCATCACTCTCAGCTCGGCTCCCAGCCGGTCGTTCAGCTCCTGAAGCGAGGACGTGGAAAGGAAGAAGGGGGAAGGGGGAAGGGGAAGAGGGAACGGGGAAGACTTTTGAGTCGACTCGAAAGGGAGAAGGGGGAAGGGGGAAGGGGGAAGGGGAAGAGGGAACGGGGAAGGGGGAAGGGGGAAGGGGAAGAGGGAACGGGGAAGGGGGAAGGGAGAGGGGAAAGGAGATGGGAGAGCACAATAATATGCCTCACCACGCGACCACGCCAGCACCGCCCTCAGCTCCGCCCCGAGCCGGACATTGAGCTCTGGCCATGCGGAGAAAGGAGGACGGGGACGGTGGAAGGGGGGGAAGAAGAGATAGCGGGGCGGGAAGGAATAGAGTGTGCGCCCCCGGCCTCACCTGCAGCGCGTGCTCCACGTGGTTGGTGGCGACAATATTGGGTGTGGTGGCCACATACTCAGCCACAGAGACTCACCTGTGAGCACAGAATGCGTGTCTCTCGTCTCACAAGCAGTGTGTGCCCTCACTCTCACCTGCAGCGCGTGCTCCGCATGGTTGGTAGCGACAGTATCAGGCGTCGCTGCCACATACTCTGCCACGCCTATCCACGCCACCGTGCCGCACCCGCCCACAAAATAGATGTCACTGGTGGGGGGGGGAGGGGGAGAGGGAGCGGGAGGGAAGGACATGGGAGTGTTGAAGAATGGTCTCACATACTCAGCCATGTCATTCCACGCCACCATGCCAAAGCCCCCCACAAAGTAGATGTCACTGGGGGAAAGCGAGTGAGGGGGGAAGGGCAGGTGTGGTTTGTGAGACGCCTCAACGATCGCACCTCACAAACCTACCCACAAAGCAATGTCGCTGGGGGTTGATGGGAGAGGGAGGGGAAGGACGGCAGGGGTGTGCAAAAAACACATTTCATACCTTGAGCAAGCACAAAAGATCCACACCACCCACCGTGTCAGCCCCCCCCCCCCCCCCCCCCCCCCAACAAAGTAAGAGCGTGTTCGTTTTTTATTTAAAAGATCGAACTTCTGCCGTAACCAGTTTTCGCTAATGTCGCCAAAACTCTTCGCAACACCCCATTCAAGATAGTGTCCACTTTCTAACACATACGAGTTCGAGTTATTTGTATTTCGTATTTTGACCACAGGTTCGACTGAAATACTTTACCCGAAAACCGAACTTTCAGGCATGCGACAATACCGCGACAAAAAACCACTCTACGACTGTTGCGACATGTTGTCGCAATGGCGGGAATGTCAGATGTGATGCCACGTCGACGCACGCGATGAATTTCGCATCTGTGTATCGCGTACGACCGGGGCTATTTTCTGTTGCGGTTCGAGAAAAATCGAATGTTGAAGTGAGGCACTATTGACCACTATTGAGTGATCGATGTTTTGGCACCATATTGGCCGTAATTGAAAAACTCGTGTATTCAGTGTTCGACCACCGCTTTTGCAAGTTGTTCGAAATCCTGCATTCGATTTTTTGCACCTGTTGGCAAAACGAACACGCCCTAAATGTCGCTTGGGGGAAGTCAGGGCCCCCCTGCCCCTCCCTCTCCCTACTTCCCTCTAATTCCCGGACACATGCCCCTTTCTGGCCCACCCTTCCACTCACGGCAGCGTCAGTGGTGCAGTCAACGAGCGATCCCAAGGGGTACCCCTGCGGCGGTGGTGCGAGCGGGGCATGATGGAGCAGAGCTGTGCGTACTGCGCCCGCCCCACCCGGTGGGCGCTCGTGGCGCTCTCTACCCCGCCTGACACGGGCGAGCGGAAGAGACCGGAGCGAGTGGCGGAGACTGAAGGAGAGGACAGGGGAGGGGAGGAGGTGGGGAAGGGGAAGGGGAGGGGGAGGGGAAGGGGGAAGGCACTAGAGACCATCACCAGTGGGACTGGCAGCCCATGGGCGCCCGTGGGCCTCCCCTCTCCGCCTCACACAGGGTGAGGTGGGGGAAGGGTGAGCCAGGGTGAAGTGTGCGGGGAAAGGAGACAGGGTGCGATGGGGGAAGGGTGCGATGGGGGAAGGGTGCGATGGGGGAAGGGTGCAGGGATTGAACTCTGGCAATTCAACAGACAGCTCGTGGGATGATTGTGGGGAGGGGGGAAAGGCGGAGGGGAGGGGAGGAAAGGAAAAGCTACCACGCTCACCCGCCCTCCCCGCACCACTGCCTCTCACCCGCGGCCCCCACCCCCAGCCACTACCACTCACTCGCCCTCCCCGCGCCACTGCCATTCACCCGCTCTCACCATCCCCACTCACCCGCTCTCACTGCGCCATCCGCAATCACCCGCCCTCACTGCGCCATCCCCACTCACCCGCCCTCACTGCGCCATCCCCACTCACCCGCCCTCACTGCGCCATCCCCACGCACCCGCCCGCACTGCGCCATCCCCACTCACCCGCTCTCACTGCGCCATCCGCAATCACCCGCCCTCACTGCGCCATCCCCACTCACCCGCCCGCACTGCGCCATCCCCACTCACCCGCCCGCACTGCGCCATCCCCACTCACCCGCCCTCACTGCGCCATCGTCCGCAGCGGTCGCCAGCAGTGCCGTCCCCACATCCGCTTCCCCCGCGCCCCCTGCAGCAGCTGCGCGCCACGCCCTCCGCCTGAAGGGGGGAGCGCGCTGCGCTTGGCGGAGTGACGCAGCAGTCGGTGTGGAGAGGGGACGCGGAGGATAGCGAGTGAGCGGAGGAGAGTAGGCGCGCGCGGGGAAAGGGTATTCTGGAAAAGAACGAGAGAGGGGGGTTGGCGAATGGGGGAAAGGAACGAGAACAGGGAGGTGGGGGATGGGAGAGGAAGCAGGGAAAGAGAGGCAGGTGATAATGGAGAGACGGGCGAGAGAATCGAGAGAACGGAGCGAGAGACGAGAGCGGGAGGGACAACAGTAGGTGATTCGGAAATGAGGAGGAGAAGCGTAGCCGCTCTTGTTCTGAAATTTCGTTCATATCGCAGAAGCGTACACGGCCCACGCCGCGTGTGAAGACGACCGTTCCAGCGTGCGAGGAAGAGCGCATTGCTCGCGAAAACGCCGCAGCGCCGACGGGCCACCTAATGGGTTCGCTCGTTAATGTCACACTCGCTAAGGGACGCGTTCCCGGGGGCAAGACGGGGTGCACGCGGAGCGCCATGGTCCGGACTCGCGCGGATCGGGGAACGCTGCGCGGAGGAGAAGGAACGATTAACGAAAATCACTGTAAATACCGCATTGGGCGGCGTTGTTCGTTTCTTCGGCGGCTGCCAATTCCAGGGCGGAAAAAACGCTGCTGGTGGCGACTAGAGCACGCGGGACGCGGCTGCTGATGATGTCTAGTGCGAGGGGAAGAATATTGGAGAACTGACAACGATCAGACTTGGTTTTGGTCGATATGAAATGGGCCTCGGGGTTCGGGGGATGGGACTCTTGAGATATACGTAATGTACCAAGTGTATCTAGTTGTTGTGAAATGGAACCCCCTTTGTAACGGGGAATGGGCTGCTGACACGTGCACGAGATACATTGTGCAAGACCAATCAGCTCGTGAGAAAGGTTCCATATCTTTCTGTACCTAATAAGAAGCCGCCTTTATCGGGTTGTAGAGTAGGCAAGTCACTCGAGCAGCAGCGGGGCAGAGGGAACTTGTTCGTAACTGCTTTCTCCTTTCATTCCGCTACGATTTCTCCTCCTACCCCGAGTCGCGTCTCCTCTCGCGCGCATCTCTCGCATCTTCACACACTTTTTAAATCCGTTGTCCGCTTCGTTGCTCCGTATGCCGCACCTCCGTCAAATGTCTCCTTCTTAGATTCGCCCTTTCTTCAAAAAGCAGCTTCTTTCTCCTTCAGGCCGTGCCGTAGCGTGCGCGTGCCCTTGGCGACCCTACGATCACCACGCGCCGCTCACCCTCGCGACGATGCGGCGATGTGACGGGAGGAAGGGGGAGGAGGGGAATGGGAGGAGCCGTTGAGGACGGGCTGCGATAGGCGCGTGAGAGGCCGAACTCCTCTGCTGACAGTGTCCTTTGCGGCGTGCGCCGTAGCTATCGAGAAGGTTAGCTGTGCACCATACCCTTGTAAATATCATCTCCTCTCTCGCGCTACCTTCTATTCGACGCCTCGCGTATCGTACGCTCGTCGCGGTCTCCTGAAATTGGCTCGTACATACTTCCCTCTCCAGCGCTAGTCCGCTTTCCCGCCTCCGCCACTCCGCCTTGCCGCCTCCCCACCTCTTCACTCCTCCGCATCCCTCTCCGCCCTCCGCCCGCGCGCCATGGCGTTTCCGGAGCTGCTGGCGCGGCAGGCGTCCATCTATTCCAGGCGACGTTCGCAGGTCCGTCGCACGCCGTCGCATCCTTGCCGATGGGCGACTTCCTGCGATCCGTCTGGCTCGCCAAGGGGTCGCACATGCTCGCCACCGCGCACACCGCCGGCGGCGGCGATCCGCGCGCGCGCGACAAGGCCGCGGGGCTGCTGCGCGCGCGCTCGCTGCGGCGGCAGAAGTCCGCCGCGGCGCTTCCGCGCGCGCTGACTGCGCGGACCGTGGAGGACTTGTGGAATGACATTCAGGCGGAACTAGCGGGGGAGGGGGAAGCGGCGGAGGGGGGCGGAGCGTCAGTGGAAGGAACGCGCGGAAGGGGGAAGGGCAGCAAGCGCAGAGGCAAGGGCAGCAGCAAAAGCGGCAAATGTCGATTCCGGAATTTACAGTGGAAGATTTTTTAGTGCGCACAGGGATTTCCAAAGAAGAGCTTATAGGGGGGATGGAGACGATAGGGGGAGAGCCGGGGGATGGGGAGGAGGCGAGTTGCGGGGTGGGCAGCAGTGCGCGGAGAGAGGGGGAGGGGGGAGCCGCGGGCGGGGACAAGGGGGAGTTGGGGGGGCAACAGCGGGGCGGGGGGAAAGGCGGAGGTGGGGAAGCATGGGACAACCAGGGGGGCAGGACGGGTGGGTGGGGAGCGTGGGGGCGAATGGCCGCAGTGCTGACGTGGCACATGATTCCGGGAGGGTCAGTGAAGGACCGGCAGCACTGTACCTGATCAAGGTGAGCACTCAGCTGTCAGTGGACCGATCCACCCTGCTGCATGCCTGCTCTCCCTCGCCCCGCTGCTCCTGTACCGCACACAATCTCCCCAATCCGCTCCCTAGCACCCCCCCCCCCCCCCCCCCCCTCAACATTGTGTTGCGCCCCCTCCCTATCTCCCATCTCCATCACCCCGCTCCCACGTCCGACCTCTTCTCTCCCCAGCAACGCTCCGCACTAGCCAACTCTTCCCCCATTCCCCCCACTTTCCGCCACCTCCCCCCTCCGCCCTCTCCGCTGGCCCATCCGCCTGCCGCCCCCCAAAGGGGCACTGGCAGCTGCAGCACAGGAGGCACGGCGTCGTCATGCACACCCCCACCACAGGATGCACTCGCTCATCCACTCACACCCCACCCACGCGCCCTTCGCCCTCTGCTCTCAGCTGCTTGGGCCTGCATCCAAGGGCCACTGACACACTGGCACGTCAGAGGAGAGCAATAACAAGAGCACCAGTCGCAGCAGAAGCAACAGTCCCTTCTTCTGTCCGTCCCGCTCACTCTTCCTCACTCCCCTCCTCCCTCCCTCTTCTTCTGTTGCGGATGGGGGCGATGCTGATGGCTGCTGTTGTTGGTGGTGCAGCAGGAACAGGTGGCGAGGGAGGGAGGTGGCGCCAAAGAGAGATCAACGGGCAGGTGATGGTGGGCAGGCGCTGCTGGGGCAGGTGATGGTGAGCAGGCGCTGCTGGGGCAGGTGGGCCGGCATCACCGCTTGCACTTTCCTTTCCTGTCCCTTCCTTCGATCTCGCTTGCGCTTCCTCTGACACGAGTACGAGATGCGAGCACACTCCATGCATTTGATTTGACATGTATCCATAATAGTACATACTTCAACTACATATGGATGAACGAATTTATATATCCTACTCCTTTCCCCGCCCTCTTGCATGGTCCTGGCAGGAGTACTGGGCACTAGCGGACTGCATGGTCTGGTTCCGAGGCATCTCACAAGGGCCAGCACGCGAGTGTCACGACAAGCTCGCCTCTCTGCAAAGGCCAGGGGGGTGGTGCAACATGGATACATTGGCAGCTCTCTTGTATCCTCTGCCGCAGCTGCCTCACCTCACCCACCTGCTAGTGAACCACTGCAAGCGGCTTGCCTGGGCTCCATTGTCCCTTTTCCAAATCCTGTCGGTGGGATGTGGCTGACCGACAGATGCCATCTGTTTGGCACACGAGAGGTGGCTTTGCTTGAAGTACACGTGGAGAGAGGGTGAAGGGGGAGTGGGGAAGAGGGGAGGAAAGGGAGGGACATGGACAAGGGATGCAGTGTCTACAGCACATGAAGCTCCTGCAAGTTGATGCTCAATGGGCTGCTGCTGCGCGAGCGGGAGGGAGGTTTAAAACTGATTGTAGCTGCTTTAGACGAAACTTACAACCTGTGTACAAACAAGAGCACCAAGTTTTTGTTTGTTGCTCATGACAGCCAGTGACTAGGTTCCATGCTGATGTATAGATAGACGCACATGCTGGCATGTGCTTGTATCTACTACCTACATGGCAGGTCTGGTGAGAGCTCCGTGTATTCTGTGTTTCTTGAAACCCAACATCACATCATATCCATGATACAAGCCGTCACGCAGAAATATATTTCCACTTGCATATTACCGGTACCGTAGTTCACACGGTTCTACGGCACATGCCGCAGAATATCTGAAGGCTTTGCCAATGGTCATAGCCTTGGGTGCATGCTAAGACCAGCCTGCAGCACAGGGTGACAGCAGTGATGGGAAAGTGGTTTCAGGCGGGCGAGAGGCAGCATGAGAAGCGCCTGAGGATGGCGCCGCCACCAGTTTTCCGCCGGAGAAGTCAGAGCAGATGTGTTGTTGATGCAAATGGACATGCATGGCCCCGGGGCAACGGGAAGGGACGCCTGAGGATGGGACGGTGGCACAGAGAAGAGGGGTTTCAGCCCCCTTTAGATTCCACCTAATCACTGTACCTTACCACACACTCACAGTGCAACAGATCGCACACACCACACTCACCATCAACCTGAATCATACTCCAGTGCATCATGCCACACATTACTGCACCAGACTGTGTGATACTGCATCACACCACATCATTTTACATCACAGTAGAACACACCATACTCTGTGACACCATACTCTGTGACACCATACTCTGTGACACCATACTCTGTGACACCATACTCTGTGACACCAGAGCACACCATATTGCAAAATACACCTACCAGAGCAAGTTTAGCTTTGTTTGTGCGCACCAAAAAGTTCGGCGCCTGTGATGATGGCTGTGTCTGCCGATAAATGGTAACGAAGCGCATGGATCCCTATAGGCATAGGGAAAATCATCGAATGACCTGAATGTTGTTGCATATTCGGGTGGCTCATGCTCAAATACACCTACCAAAGAAATATCAGCTTTGTTTGTGCGCACCAAAAAGTTCGGCGCCTGCGATGACGGCTGGGTCTGCCGACAAATGGTAACGAAGCGCATGGATCCCAATAGGCGTAGGGAAAAGCATCGAATGACCTGAATGCTGTTGCATATTTGGGTGCCCCATGCTCAAATACACCTACCAGAGCAAGTTCAGCTTTGTTTGTGCGCACCAAAAAGTTCGGCGCCTGCGATGACGGCTATGTCTGCCGAGAAATAGTAACGAAGCGCATGGATCCCTATAGGCGGAGGGGGAAGCATCGAATGACCTGAATGTTGTTGCATATTCGGGTGGCCCTCGCTCAAATACACCTACCAGAGCAAGACTATTTTCCACACCCACAAAAAGTGGCTCCATTTCGTTCTGTGTCGTTTGGAAGATTTGAGCGCCCGAACTCTGCCTGGTACGCCCATCATAGGTGCGCATACTGCCCCGACTGCCCAACGCATCACATTGATTGGTCCACTGCATTTTATGCCCCTTTTTTTATGCTAGTCCTCTAGATTAGCAACAAGTGGCTCCATTTCGTTCCGTGTCGGTTGGAAGATTTGAGCGCCCGAACTCTGCGTGCTACGCCCATTATAGGTGCGCATACTGCCCCGACTGCCCAACGCACCACTTTGATTGGTCCACTGCATTGAATGCCCCTTTTTATGCTACTCCTCTAGATTAGGCTATTTTCCACACCCATAACAAGTGGCTCCATTTCTTTCCGTGTCGTTTGGAAGATTTGAGCGCCCGAACTCTGCCTGGTACGCCCATCATAGGTGCGCATACTGCCCCGACTGCCCAACGCATCACATTGATTGGTCCACTGCATTTGATGCCCCTTTTTTTATGCTAGTCCTCTAGATTAGACTATTTTCCACACCCACAACAAGTGGCTCCATTTCGTTCCGTGTCGTTTGGAAGATTTGAGCGCCCGAACTCTGCCTGGTACGCCCATTATAGGTGCGCATACTGCCCCGACTGCCCAACGCATCACTTTGATTGGTTCACTGCATTGGATGCCCCTTTTTTTATGCTAGTCCTCTAGATTAGACTATTTTCCAAACCCACAACAAGTGGCTCCATTTTGTTACGTGTCGTTTGCAAGATTTGAGCGCCCGAACTCTGCCTGGTACGCCCATTATAGGTGCGCATACTGCCCCGACTGCCCAACGCATCACTTTGATTGGTCCACTGCAATGGATGCCCCATTTTTTATGCTAGTCCTCTAGATTAGACTATTTTCCACACCCACAACAAGTGGCTCCATTTCGTTCTGTGTCGTTTGGAAGATTTGAGCGCCCGAACTCTGCCTGGTACGCCCATCATAGGTGCGCATACTGCCCCGACTGCCCAACGCATCACATTGATTGGTCCACTGCATTTGATGCCCCTTTTTTTATGCTAGTCCTCTAGATTAGACTATTTTCCACACCCACAACAAGTGGCTCCATTTCGTTCCGTGTCGTTTGAAAGATTTAAGCGCCCGAACTCTGCCTGGTACGCCCATTATAGGTGCGCATACTGCCCCGACTGCCCAACGCATCAGTTTGATTGGTTCACTGCATTGGATGCCCTTTTTTTTATGCTAGTCCTCTAGATTAGACTATTTTCCACACCCACAACAAGTGGCTCCATTTTGTTCCGTGTCGTTTGGAAGATTTGAGCGCCCGAACTCTGCCTGGTACGCCCATTATAGGTGCGCATACTGCCCCGACTGCCCAACGCATCACTTTGAATGGTCCACTGCATTGGATGCCCCTTTTTTTATGCTAGTCCTATAGATTAGACTATTTTCCACACCCACAACAAGTGGCTCCATTTCGTTCCGTGTCGTTTGGAAGAATTGAGCGCCCGAACTCTGCCTGGTACGCCCATTATAGGTGCGCATACTGCCTCGACTGCCCCACGCATCACTTTGATTGGTCCACTGCATTGGATGCCCCTTTGTTTATGCTAGTCCTCTAGATTAGACTTTTTTCCACACCCACAACAAGTGGCTCCATTTCGTTCCCTGTCGTTTGGAAGATTTGAGCGCCCGAACTCTGCCTGGTACGCCCATTATAGGTGCGCATACTGCCCCGACTGCCCCACGCATCACATTGATTGGTCCACTGCATTGGATGCCCCATTGTTTATGCTAGTCCTCTAGATTAGACTATTTTCCACACCCACAACAAGTGGCTCCATTTCGTTCCTTGTCGTTTGGAAGATTTGAGCGCCCGAACTTTGCCTGGTACGCCCATTATAGGTGCGCATACTGCCCCGACTGCCCAACGCATCACTTTGATTGGTCCACTGCATTGGATGCCCCTTTTTTTATACTATTCCTCTAGATTAGACTATTTTCCACACCCACAACAAGTGGCTCCATTTCGTTCCGTGTCGTTTGGAAGATTTGAGCGCCCGAACTCTGCCTGGTACGCCCATTATAGGTGCGCATACTGCCCCGACTGCCCAACGCATCACTTTGATTGGTCCACTGCATTGGATGCCCCTTTTTCTATGCTAGTCCTCTAGATTAGAATATTTTCCACACCCACAACAAGTGGCTCCATTTCGTTCCGTGTCGTTTGGAAGATTTGAGCGCCCGAACTCTGCCTGGTACGCCCATTATAGGTGCGCATACTGCCCCGACTGCCCAACGCATCACTTTGATTGGTCCACTGCATTGGATGCCCCTTTTTCTATGCTAGTCCTCTAGATTAGAATATTTTCCACACCCACAACAAGTGGCTCCATTTTGTTCCGTGTCGTTTGGAAGATTTGAGCGCCCGAACTCTGCCTGGTACGCCCATTATAGGTGCGCATACTGCCCCGACTGCCCCACGCATCACTTTCATTGGTCCAGTACATTGGATGCCCCTTGTTTTATGCTAGTCCTCTAGATTAGACTATTTTCCACACCCACAACAAGTGGCTCCATTTCGTTCCGTGTCGTTTGCAAGATTTGAGCGCCCGAACTCTGCCTGGTACGCCCATTATAGGTGCGCATACTGCCCCGACTGCCCAACGCATCACTTTGATTGGTCCACTGCATTGGATGCCCCTTTTTTTATGCTACTCCTCTAGATTAGACTATTTTCCACACCCACAACAATTGGCTCCATTTTGTTACGTGTCGTTTGCAAGATTTGAGCGCCCGAACTCTGCCTGGTACGCCCATCATAGGTGCGCATACTGCCCCGACTGCCCAACGCATCACATTGATTGGTCCACTGCATTTGATGCCCCTTTTTTTATGCTAGTCCTCTAGATTAGACTATTTTCCACACCCAAA